ACACTCTTAAAACCAACAAAGGCACACCCAAAAAAAGTTATTGAAATTCAAATATCAAACTTGTAATATAAAAGCGATTTTAAGGAATATCTTTGAACATTAGAGATAAGTTGTGGTAACCATTTGGAGAGTTATTTCTTTATATTACAAGCTAATGGTATACCATAATACGAGGTGTGTTCAAAAAGTAAGGTGACTCTTCAAATTTCGCGAATTTCAAATTTTTCGATTATCGAAACCTTTTAGAAGTTATACGAGGTGTGTTCAAAAAGTAAGGTGACTTTTCAAATTTCAAATTTTTCAAATTTTTCGATTATCTTCAGTTTTGGGAACAAGAAAAAGTCACATGGGGCCAAATCCGGTGAATATGGTGGCTGAGGCATTATTGTGGTGTTGTTTTTGGCCAAAAAATCCAAATCCTTTGATCCATATTTTTCGATAGCAAAAAATCGCCGAGCTCGCAAAACAACTTGTAACTTTACGCCTCTCACAACCAAACAAAAGAGGATGTTCCATTGAAACTTGGTACAGATGTTAGGGAAGAGTGTACCAATATAACAAAACAAAAAAATCGATAATCGAAAAATTTGAAATTCGCGAAATTTGAAGAGTCACCTTACTTTTTGAACACACCTCGTATACTTATTTCTAAATAAAGATATAGTATTTGTCATCATATTCCAAAATCATTTGAATACACCCTTTATATTTGACTACAGAATTTTGTCTCTGTGCACTTAACAAAATCGTATTAGCATTGAGAGCGACACGATCGCAAGAGATCGGCGCCGGATCGAAATCGTATCGCCTCCACCAACATTTTGCCGGAATTCTGTAGGAAAAGAGATCGACTAATAGCGAACGAAAGAGACGCGAATAGATCACAATTGATTTCTGAGATTTTGTTGCGTTTATGGCATATTTTTATGGCACTTTTGGGTTTCTTTTGAATTTCTGTTGTCTTCCACTCATTGGGTAACATTCACTTTTTGTTTGGCACTTTCTTTCTAATCGAAAGTTGGTATTTAGCTGCGTGAGTGTGTGGGAGGAGTTTTTTTTTCAAATATTTTCTTTTTGAGAGATCGAGAGGGAAATGCGTTGGTCGCTGCTTAAAAACAAGAAAAAAAACACAAAAAGAAAATCACATGGTTACTTTTCAAATTAAGAGCCAGAGAAAAACATTGCCAGACACTTGTTGTTTGTTGTCTTTTGTTGTTTGCCAATGCAATTCCAAGGGGGGAGCTGGGTTAAATTCAACGTAGGTGGCTCGTTTGTGGCCCCAAATTGTTGCACTTTGCTTCGGTTGTGCCGTTGTTAGCTGTGTTGGCTTGTCTTGTCCCGTGGCCAAAACAGCAAACAATGCTGCCGGTAGATAAAAATCTACCAAATTTGACTATATAGAAAGTCGCTGGATTGCACTGCACCGAAAAGTTTATCCCCCGAACGGGTAAACAAATCGAATAGAATATATACTACGGCCAGCGGCTTGCACAATTTAGCCATTATCCGTGTACCCGTTTGTTCTTTTTTGAATGTAAAATTAAAAACAAATAAATAGCAACAACAAACGACTGGTAAAATAAACAATGAGAAAATGGGAAAATCAAAAACAGAAACAGAGAGAAAAAAACCCAGAGGGAGGCAGCAAGGAGGAGGGTTCAACACAACAGGTTCGGGGCCATAAAATGGTAAGAAACCGTTTCAGTTTTCCTGACTTTTCGCAAAAGGTGTAAACATGAGGCACCTGAGGTGGGAGGCAGCAGTGCATGTGGATGGAGGCTAGACACTTGCGCACACTAAACGATTCGGTTTTCAGGTGTTAAAAACTACCTGTACGATGCTGAGAGTCCGATTCCCGAAGTCGGAGCATGAAATCGCTGGCCGTGTTGGAAAAATGCCATGAAATAGGCTTTCGTCAAATTAGCGTGGCAGCGTTAACCGATGGATGGATATGGATGGTCCGATACAACGATGCACCGATGCACCTAAGCACCGATGGACTGATGCTGAGGGCAAAGGCATCTAACAGATACATCTGTGCACCTTCTCTGTGGGATATTTCGCACTTTGCGTCGATGCACATACTAGATTTCTGTTCTGTTCTCTCGGGTCGTTTGCCCTGCCTTTTGCTACTCACTACCTGCTACCTTGATTTATATATTTTTACTGCAAAACTGCATTCGGTTTTTATCTGTATCTCTGCATTTGCATGACACAAAACCTGGCCCGGGCCCTGGGCCCTGTTATCTAACTCGAAGAATGCCCGTTCTCTGACTTTGGCACTTGATCTACACATATACCGCTCAAACAGAATGCTGAATGCTGAGGAGACTCCACTCCGGCTGAGGCCTCATAAATTCTCTGGTCGTTTAGTTTTTACGATTGTCGGCTGGCTTTGTTAGGCGGAGGCACGTACAGCTAGCGACAAGGTAATAGCACTTATAATTCCTTCGGAAAAGTATTTCATCTTATAACATAAATATACAAAAATTGTATTTTCAAAACTTATCCTAAATGGCAAAGTGATTTTAAATCTGTAAACAATTCATTGACTTCATTGACTTCATCATATTAAACAGAAATAAAGATCAGGAAAATCGTAATTTCGCAGTTTACAAACTCGTGGCGTAGCTCCATTTTTTAGTGCTATTAATTTAACCGCCACTATAAGCACTCTCACACATATACAGCTACACGAACTCACCGATACATGCCGCTTGTATCTTTCGACGTTGGCCTATCTAAATACATGCTGAAGAGTTGAAGTGCCAGGGACCCCAAGCCGAAGAAACGGCAGCGACAACAGCCTCCTGCCAAGATCTCTGCGCCTGCGTACTGTACTCGGGAACTTGGGAACTTTGAAACTGGGGAACTTGGCACTCGCACCAAGACCAAAAACCAAGATCCAAGAAAAGACCCTGCCTGAGCTCAGACTACCAAAAACTGGTCTCTGGCCTGAGTCAAAGTTTGCGTGCTTTGCTGAAATTTTTATGTTGGACCCAGCGGCCCCCGAAAAAAAACAAACTCTTTTAGCACAGAGAACATTCAGGTAGTTAGCCTTAGGCCTTTAATATTTTTGGCCAATGTCCAGGAATTGGAATGAATGAGAGATCGAAGGGGAAACAAATACAATATTAATGGTGCATCAAATATTATTCTCGAAGGCGTGCAACAATTTTAACGGTCTTTGGGTTCCCATTCAGATCTTGAGGAATCCAGGAAATGCCTGAAAATAGCCTATTAAATGGAAAATGGACTGTGAAATTTAAATGGATTTTCAGCTCTAGAAATTTGATATTTCTCTGGCATTTTGGCCACCCACAGATCTTGCCCATATCTAAAGCTGATCTAAATCTAACTTTGGGCTATGGAAAGATCCCAACCAGCATATCGGCCCACGAAAATGTTGCCTTTAATTATGACACATTTAAGAAAGCCACAAATTTACGTCAATGAGTTAACCCAAGTCTCGAAATTGCTGTCGAGTCATAAGTTGAGGGCCACAAAACTCCAAAGGAAAAGACCGACCGCGGGAGATAGGGATAGGAGAAAGGAGATGGAGACAGTGACTGAGACTGAGACTTGACGAAAGTACTTTCATTTTCACGCTCATAAAATGGGACTACCATAAAACTTAAAAATGTTGCCGTAAAAACGTTAAAATCAGAAACGTACCCAGTAGACGGCCAAGTTAAGCGGCTTAAATGACATTTAAATCAGCCAAAATAAGCACAGTGGGGGAGGGGAGGGGCAGAATTTGGTTGGTCAAAATGCAAGGCGATATGGAAAGGTAAACACTGAAGGCCCAGACACTCGAGACTGAAGATCCCTTTCACTGAGCGCTCAAGTTGGGACAGGAAGTTCGCACTTTGGCAAAAATCGAATCGAAGAACCCCAAAATGAGGAATGGAAATTAAAAAAACTATAAAGAAACCCCGGGGAGAGCCATTCCAGCACACGTCTCTCTGTACGAGTATAGTGTATCTCTCCCCGTGATTACGCTTTAATCTCGTTATAATGAGGCAGGAAAATTGCTTGGCGGATGTGCCGAGCGTGCCCGAAACGGGAATGGCATTGGGATTGGGTTTGAGATTGCAATTGGGATGGGTACTCTGTCTGTGTCTGCGTCTCGGGCCTGGAGTTCGAACCTGGATGGGAGCTGTGGTTGACATCCTGGTTGCCAGCTGGGCAGCACTCATCTCGAGTGCAGACAAGATTGTGATTGGGTTACCAGGGAAGAGGGGGAAGTACCGCCTCAAACCAGGCCAAACACAATGCAAAAGGGAGAGACAACCGGCAGACAGCAAATACACTTGTTCGAGTAATCTGTTACCCATATTTGTGGCCCTGCTTGTTTTTTTTCTGAAATATGATGCCGCCGAGGCGCAGGTCATAAACAAACCAAAGACACGGATCGGGAGGAGGAAAAAGGTCCCAGGAAAGAGTTGTGAGATAAGGTTAGATAAGCGCCGGCATACATGTTATGTATGCTTGTATACCTGTTGAAACGGCGTCCAACATTGAGCACTTCCTTCTCCTCTTAGTGGAGCACAAACACTTTTTTGGAGTTCTTCGTTTGGGACTTGATAAGGCGAGCATGAATGGAAGTTGTATTCTTATTATTTTGGGAAGAATTTGGGAAGATAACCCTACTCATTCCATTAAGCAGAGTATATGGTAAAGGGTCAGCACATTTGGGGACATTTTCATAAGGAAGTTAGACACAAACTTTGAAATTTAAAAAGAAATTTAAAATAAAACATTAACCTGATAAGGGTAAAAGGTTACCTTTTTTAAATCAGGCAAACTTTTAACACAACAAACTCTCGAAGTGAGGCGTCCAATATTTTTATAAACAGCTAAACTAAACAAATTTTCAAATTATAAACAAACTCCCAAAATAACTTTAAAGTGTTTGAGAACAAAACACATAACTTATTTTCTTCAAAAATATATCTAAGATTTACCAATCCGATTTTATATTATTTTATAAAACCCACCTGAATTATGATGCATTTCCGGTAGAACCACCGACGACTCTGCCTTAAAGCCTCCATTTAGACCGCTGCTGCTAGTTGGCTTCTCCAAGCCCATGTCCAGAGTGGTAGATCCATCCAGATCAACGAGAGTGTTGCTATTGAAGAGCCCCACGCTGCGGTACTCCTTCGCGAATGGCGTGGCAGCCTGTGCCGCCGCCGAGGATAACACAAGGACCAGCCAGGATATGGCTGATCCTCTGGTTTTGGCCACTTCACCCGACCACATGGCACTGTCACTCACGTCACATAGACGAAACCAGTCGATGGGAATTATTATTTTATTTAAACGACGCGTGACACTTTCAATTAACACCGCTCAGCGGCTGACGCCGTATGCGAAAAAAAATGTGTTACTTTTGATCATTAAATTAGTTAGAGTCGGCCGACTTGACTTTGATGGGGCACCGTAAATTCAATTTGCGCTCGACGTTTGCTCTCTTTTCGCGCTTGTTACTCTTTTATTTTCCGCCAGTTAGGGAAATTATGTGTGTCAGCAATTAGTGAAAATGACCGTCTGTCCAAGTCACTAAAAAGTGTGTCAGACGTTTCTGGCACTGCAAAGATAAGGGACATAAAGAGCGGGATTAGTACGTTGCGAATCAGAAGTTCACATATGCATGCAAATCACTTTTTCAACCATTTCAGAGGCATAAAGTAACAGTAACAAAAGCTATAAAACTGATTGGCAATTGCTGTGCAAGTATTAATAGAATTTACATTGGTGCCTAAGGGGTTTAAAGATTATAATTCTTTGGGATATCTATCAAGTTCAAGGAAAGTTACAAGTTAAATACAAAGTTATACAGAGTTTTATGTTTTGTGATATTTAAAGTGTTTAAAATATATTCTACCGAAAATATAGATTCAAAAACATATTTATTTAAATATTTAAATGTTATATTCATAACATCCCTAGGGAAACAGTTATGGTAAGGAAATAAACAAATCCTTCAAGTACCTATTTTAAGATATCTTCAACTTAGTTAGTAAAGTTTAAACCTAACACATGTGCATTCGTCACTCTTTGCTTTTCTGCTATTTCATTACTATTCCTCACTCGCATTTATAACGGAAATTCGACAACACACATTGCCAACAGCTGTTATTCATTGCTGTTACGTTGATAATTGGTAAGTACGCGACATTTCTATCAATCAAAAAAATCCGCGTTCATTTCCATAACAATTTTCCCGAATATGCTGCGCATGCGCAGGATAATGAAAGCAAGCCCACGAGAAATCCCGCGGTGGGAATTAGGGAATCAAAAGAAATCCCACAACAAACCCCTCGAATGCCTCCGCCCACGCCTCTGAATGTGCGCCTCAGTATGGAGTTCCAATGTGCAAGCAAGAGAGCAGGATGCACCCTTAGCGCCGCTCATAAATGTCAATGAATATGGAAAGGCTGATGTTATTGTTTTTTTTCTCGTTCTTTTTGGTTGGAAAACAGAATGAAATAACATGTGGGTTTTGGATTATTAAACTTCGTTTGGAGGAAATGCCAGAGAGGCATACGCATACACTGAGCAAAAAAATAAAATCCAAATGGGGTAATGTTATTATTTAGGTTTAGATCACTCGGTTATAATGCTTATTTTAAAATGTTTTTGTTGTTATACATTTTCGATTTCAATATTATTTTCAATGTTTGTTGAAATTAAATGAAGGTCACTGTAGTTAGAAAATTTTTTTTTTGTTATTTATTTAGCAACCAGACAAAGTCCAAGATCCATTATTTATTGTAGATTTTCAAGCACTCCTCTCCATTTTATATTTCTGTGTACTCAGAAGGTATTTATAAATTGAGCTCAAAAAATAATGCCAAAAAATTTGCATATGTCAGTGTAACAAAAACCAAAATTGATGGATGGAAAAAAGACTGCGACTCAAAATCACACACTCGCGGCCCAAAAGCCAAATAAGCTTTAAACAAAACGAGTTTTAACAAAATATTTTTGCATTGCACAAACAGAAAGCCGTCGAAAAAACAAACACACAATCACACACCGGGCCAAATAAAAGCCATTCAATTAATATCCGAACAGAAAATAACAAACAAAAGCCAGTGCAATGTTAGTGCGGTTGCCTGTCTCTGCCTGTTGTTGTTTGTTTTTTTGAAGTTCAACAAACAAAATCGAAATTGGCTAAAATCGAAGGGATGCTCCATTTATCCATACCTTTTTTTACACCACTTGTTGTTGGTCTTTGTTTATTGTTATTATTCTTTATTGGCACTTTCGGATGCTGAGACAGCTGCGCGGACTAACGGTATTTGCGAATCGACTGCGCAGCGGAGACGGATGAGAAACATAACCGTAATCGTTCGATCTCGTTGTTTTGATCACTATCACATCATCGATATATCTTTTCTAAAATATATGTATTTTTATCGGGATTTTAGAAACACATTATCCATAGTGAAATTATCCACACGTTTTCGATTCGATTCGATCCCTCGCGCGCGCTATATAAAATTATAGTCGAACATTTCGGTTGCTTATATAGACTTTGCAACATTTAGTATGACCTTTTCATGGTGTTTTAAAAATACTCCAAGTATATCGATGAATCGATCTCGCTCTCTTCTCTCTGTTAGGTGGAAAACTCCGATAACCACAAGATGATAACACTGCTTGGGTGAAGAACTCCACTAAATCAAACGAGGGCTGAAGAAATACCTTGGTTCAACTGCTTACACTGCTTACAACCCCCTCAAAAGGGCGGAGCTTATTCGAATTAACCTGCTTGCCACCCTTAACGAGCACTTTGTCCGGAAGTAAAATTGGGGGTTAATTTCATAGAACATCAGCCAATCAAGGTCCGGCCTGAGCCAGACTTCAGGTGTGTGGAAGGGGGAGAACGTTATTTTTTTATTATTATTGTTAAGCAGCTTTTTAGGCGTCCTCGCTGTTGCTGTTAATTTTTTGATGTGCCGCATAATTTGCTTTGTTTTTTTTTTCAGTTCGTCTGCCGGCGTCGCCGTTGGCGTCAGGATAAGCGTCACTTGACCAACGGAAGTAGCAATATATCTGACACTTCAGTCGCTCGCCGATTACCCAAGTGATTAGTTTGACGAGCTCCGCGGCAAATCCTTGTTCAGATGCAACGCCAAAAAGTGGAACTTGGGTCACCCGATGGGTCACCCATCAAAAGAAGCGACAGTATAAATCCGATATCGAGTTCTACGAACATAACCGTACCCCAACGTCCTTCGTCGCCGCGACAGTTTTTCGAAAGACTCTACGGGCATTTGGAAACGCGCAGCTCGGAAAATGGGGAAATCGACATCGACGTCGGAACACACGCCCACAAGCCGCCTCCCTGTGAAACGCCTTACCACAGCGACGGCGGAAGTGTCTCATCGCCGGACATTTCCATTAGCGATGAACGCACCTCACTTGCCAGCTTTCCTGCCTACGATTTCTATGGCCAATCTAAGGATTATTCCCAGCATCCCACACAGCAGCACCATCATCATCAGCAGCAGCAAGTGCAGCACAAGCTCAGCTATGTGAGTCCGCCGCCGGTGATCAATCCCGGATTACCAGCGAATCCTGGCCTGCCACATGGATTTCCGCCTGGATTCCCAAGCGATCCACACTTTAGCGCCGGGTTTACTGCTTTCTGTGAGTATTTATATTTTTTGCTTGGGAGGATGATTTCTTTGTGTGAATGTCCTAAAATATCTTAAAAATTATTAACTAGAACATTCATAAACGTGAAGAGCTAAGTGATTTGTGTCCATAAAAATACAGCTACCTGTCCATATGTATTCTCGTAGTTGATTTAAACGAAGTTCCAACGTGCTTGATTATAAACCTTTACATTTAAATCTTTTTAAAATTAGAAGTGAGTTTACTTTTCTCATAATTGTAAAAATCAAAATGATTACTTTAATAAGTGGACTTCCATAACCTAACTCCTATATCAACTTTTCATTAAAGAAAATGATGTAAAAAAGAATTGAATCTTACTGTCATCAATCTTAGTGTCATCAAGGAGTTATATATTTTCTTGGCGTGTAGACACTTTATGACTAAGTATAATTATAACTATAACTATTCTCTCAAACAAAGTATAAAAATTCACCTTCACCCAGATTTACTATTTTGTTCTGAACTCTTAGACATTTATTTTGAGGTTTTTCAGTTCTTAAGTTCTAAGTACAAGAGTAAATTTGAGCTACTACGATTTTGGTCCTAACTAGATATTTAGATAATAGGGTGAAGACATTTGTACTACTTTGAGGGCGGTGACTTTGGCTTCCCCTTCTTTGCTTCCTTCTCCGCTGCTGCCTTCTTCTCCTCCCGCTGCCTGGCCATTTGACGAAGCTCCAGGCTGAGAAACATCTTCAGGTTTGGATCAGTGATCTTGCTCAGAACAATCTCGCGGGCCTCCTCATCGTTGTCGCCCAGAAGCTTGGCCAACGTCTGAGCATAGTCTAGCCAAACGCAGTTGGCACATCCAGACATGCAGCAGGTGGTGGGCTCGGGGGGTATCTGTAAAGGAAAATGGATTAAAATCATAAGTCTCAATTAGATATTTTGAGTGGTTCAATAAATTGTAAACTACCTGTGCCTTCCGGTAGTTTTGTAAAGACTTTATAAAACAAAACGATATAGATTTAGATTTTCGAATAAACAAAATTATTTACAAATTTCAGGTGAAGCCATAGGGGTTTGAAAGGGTTTTAATGTTCTGCTTTTAATTCTTTAAGTAAGCCCTGTAAAAAGTTTGAAATAGTAACAAAATGTAGGATTATACATTTACCTCGATGTTCCTGAGTCTCTTTCTTCCCTTGGTGTTCTTATCTTTGGCTTTAGCTGTTGCCTCCTTAGACTTTGCATTGCTATCAGAAGCTGTGTCCTTAGTGGAATCTTTGCCGGCGTTGTCCTGGTTGGTAGTATCCTGGGAGGTGTTGCCTGACAATTGACGGGCTAGGGAGGCCCAACGTTCTGCTCCACGCCTCAGTAGCAAACATCGCGGACAGCTAAAGCCCAGGGGAGCCAACATTTCCCACCCGATCCCCGAAAGAGTTCGATAGTTACGACTGAAAAGGCCCAGAGGAAGTGATGAACATTTCACACGCCTGCGCAGGTGCAGCCCAGATGAACTTAGTTCCGCAGGAACTGCAAAAAATCGGATACAGAAAAAAGGCTGATTAAGTGCAAGTGCTATATTGAATATCCCCGCACCAAGTGCAGGCAAGGATTATGTAAAATCAGTCAAGAAAAAAAGTAAACAAAACGAAATTGAAGAAAGGGTGGGGAAACCAAGCAATGCCACACAATGAGCTGCTGCTGACCCCCAATGCAAAGAAATTAGCCAAGAAAAAACTGAATGCCAAGAAAAAATTAAAATGCATTGAGCCGTGAAAGTTTTCGTTTACTTGCGGCTTTTTCATTTGCGGCTGATGAGGTTTTGCCAGGTGTGGAGGTAAGGTGAGGTTACAAAAAAATTGAAATCCGTTGGCTAATGAAAATGATCGCAGGTTAAGGGTGACGGAATAGACCAATTGATAAGTGGTAAATTACGGAATTACACTTTCTTAAAGAAGAAATTATACTTTTTTATTTTGCTACCTTGGCGGATCATATAATAATAAACCAAATTATTTCACAAATAAAATCCTTAACTAACTATATAAATTACTAAAAAATGGCTAAGATATAGGATAATATAAACGTCTATTAACTTAACAAAATACTTTTGGTTTGTTTAAGTTCGAATTTAGAAGTAAATTAGGTTTCTCTACTAGTATATCCATCTTTTCCGCAAAACTTACAACCATATCTTTGGCAAATCCTAAAAAAAAACCAAGTGAGTAAAAAAGTTAACATTGTAATTGAGCTTGACAGGAAACCTAAAAAAGCAAATATAAACAGTCAACGAAGAGGGTTAAACGAGGAACACATAGAGGGAGACTCAGAGCTGCCACAACGAAATGTCCAAAGGACACTTGGCTATCAAATTTCACACGTGATTTAAAAAATTTTGAGGAAAAAGAAGGCAAAGAAAGGATCAGGGAAGAGCTTAAGCCCGTTCCGAGTTATTCAGGCAAGGGGTAATCAAGCAAAAACTAGAGATTACAACGCCCACAAAGCAACCCCTTTCCAGTTTAAGAAAAAATCACATCCACAACCAAACAACTTGTCAGCTTCGCCTTGTTACATCAATTAGACTCTAAACCGCAACACTGACAATGGAGTGGGTGGCAGTGGGTGTTTATGACAAGCAGGTGGGTGGTTTTACAGGGAGTAGTGGGGCATAATGTGCGCTTGGCTGAACTTCATCATCATCATCATTGGCGACACTGCGAATGCAAACAAACGACAGAACGAAAATTCCAATGAGAGGATGATGCTGAAGAATACCGACGAGGATGATGATGATAATGGGCGGCAGCCAGCTGTTGGCATTGTTAAAACTTTCCCGGATCAGCCGAAATGAATAAAAAAAGAAAACTTCAACAAGGGAAAATGCACTTCTAATGTGCACCACAAACGCGAACCACGAATCCTGTCAGGTGGGCCGAAAAAAGAAGGAAAGACCACGGATATCGCAGTGGTTAATTATTTGTTTAACTGGCCAAACACGCAACCACATTCGGAATCGCTTAGTCCCAGCTCATAACTTGATGGTTTGTTAATGTAAGATTAATTTCGGTCTAACATCTCTATTGTATTTGGAATGAATAATGGGAGGAATAGTATTATGAAGGAAGTTAAATGGGTGGTGTGGGAATAGGGATATTTATGTCTATCTGAAAGATGTCTTTATTATTTTTTTTAGGAATGGCTGAAAAGGATATGATACTGGTACTTTTAAACTGTTTTAAATATTAAAATCTGATATTTCCCGAGCTCTATATTAAATTCTTCTTTTCTTTAATTTAGTGGCCCGAAGACGTCGCAAGGAGGGAAGACAACGTCGTCAAAGAACCACCTTTAGCACGGAGCAGACACTTCGTCTGGAGGTGGAATTCCACCGAAACGAGTACATCTCAAGGAGCCGACGGTTCGAGCTAGCTGAGACGCTTCACCTGACCGAAACCCAAATCAAAATTTGGTTCCAAAATCGAAGGGCCAAGGATAAGCGTATAGAAAAGGCTCAGATCGATCAGCATTATAGGTAAGTCTTAAATGGTTGGTTGTTAAAATAAAAATAGGAAACACATAATTGCTTAAATAAATGACTTGCTAGTTCGTAACTAACACAGATAGTATGATGGATAGATCGTGAAGAGGATTTTACTTGATATTTATATGTGTATTTTTGAAACGGAAGTTATTTAAGGAAATGTCACCAGTTTAATTGATGGCTAACATAAAATTAACACGAAATTAATTTTACGACATTTATGCGCACACAGACCCAATTAGACGATGTCCTGAAATTGAGGGGTTGCTCAGCTCCTGCTGAAGGAGTTTGGCTCGAAATTATTTTGTATTTTGATGTAATCAATTTTTCAGAAACTTTGTCGTGGCCAATGGTTTTATGAGCTCTATAATGGGTCAAGCGACCACAACCATGCCCCCCGGAGGCGTTGGTGTGGGAGTGGGCGTGGGTCTCAATTACTATGCCGCTCCAGCGACGCCGGCAGCGCTGCCCAAGGATAACACGCAGGATGCTAATTTTATTGACATCGATGACCAGTACCAACGGCAGCAGCAACAACAACAGCAACAACGACGACGTCGAGAAACCACAACACTTATCAATACTTGCTAATACCTACTAATTGTTTACTTTTAATTGAGCTTTAAACTGTTTAGAGTAAGATTGGAATAAATACATATAAAACTGTAAAAACGGTATAGCCTTTAACGTTCTCCTTTCAAAAACACTCACTTTTCAAGTATGCTATATACTTAGCATTTTTAGAATTTGCAGGACAGCATTTAATTTGTTTATATAAGAGAAAAGAGAAGACAACAAATTTATTATAAACCAAAAACAGCGAAACTAACAAACAATAACGTAGCCCTGGTGGCCAGACAGCTGTTGCTGCAGTTAATATCGATGAAACTATCGATAGGCTTGTTAACTTAACAACCCAGTGATACCAGTTTTAATTTAAATTTGTTTTAAATATTTTTTTTTCGCAGGAGTCAAAATTTTATTAATAACAAAATTTAAGTTAGATTTCAAAGTCGTAACATGTAAATTGAAGCTGAATCTTATTAAATATGATGCTTTGGCATTAATTTCATATGTTTAATCCGCGTTATCCTCCTGTGGTTCCAGCCAGGTATATTTCCATTGCTTCCTTGTTTAAGTGTACGAACTGGCGTCTTCTTGGTATCGGCTGTATATTAGGCAATCGAGTACCATTCACTGCATTGAGGCTTAGATCGGAATTTGAATCGTCCTCGGACATAAGCTCTCTCCTTGCCCGTTTGGCAGCGGCCGCGGCACTGGTTGTTTGTCTATCGTCATTGTCTTCAGAGGAAGTCGTCGTGGCAGCCCTCGTTGATGCAGGAGCAACGGAAGTGGCACCTGCCGACGTGTCACTTGTCTGACTCCGACTGCTACTCACTGAGGACACACTCGGCGCATTTCTGAACTCTTTATGTCTTTTGGCATTGTTGTTTTTGATCCGGTAGAGGCTTATTAGATTCTTGTAGCATGACATGCACAATGGTTGCGACCTGAGTTCGGAGTTTATTCGTTGGCCGAACTTTAGCAAGTGGGGATTTCTGATTGTGTAGTTCGGAGTTCTCAGCTTATGATTTCCCAGACCACAAATTCGATGCTCCCCAGGTTCGACTCTTTCTTTCTGCATATCTGCAGTTTGAGTGTTTATTAGTCAGTGGTTTGCCTTCCAAAGCTAGTATAATGTTTGACAGTTAAGACATATACTGTGTATGTTAACACACAACACTGGACAGAATATGAAAAGCTATGTTGAAATGTGTCAAGGTTCAAAAATACTTTCATATGTACGTCCCCTTCGCCTACTATTTTGCACATTTCCTCAAGAAGAAAAAATTTAGTTATAGACTAAATATTATTTAAAACATAAAAAAAATATGTTTTTGTAAAATGTTTACGACCAACTTTATATTCCATTTCAGAACTTTAACGTAAATAAAATAAGATCAATTCTCCATTGATATATGATAATAAAAAGGTAATGCTTTATTATTTAATTGTAATAAAAAATTGCATTGGAATGTCAATATGTTTCACCCGCTTTATCCACCGAGCTCCGAGTTTATCTGTTGGCCGAACATTAACAAATAGGGGTTTTTGATTGGGTAGTGCGGAGTACCTAGTTTATGATTTCCAAGACCGCATATTCGACGTTCTTGTGGCGCTTGTTGTGCATCTTCCATAGCTCCAGTTAAATATTAAATTAGTTATATCTATTTAGAAAATAGGACAAAATGTGGTTTTGGTCGCCATTAAAGCAGAGCATACAGTTACATACTGAGCTTTATACTGAGCTTGGTCAGCGAAACATGTAGACGTATGGGTGCTGACCGCTAGCTTACACTGCTTGTGTTGAAAGAGGAAGTTTTGACGCTGCTTCTTTTGGCGACCACTAGAAAGAATTGGGAAATTAAGGTTAATAGAATCAACCGTAAGACTAAGGAGTTTTGACTAAAAATAATCCATGTAGTTGATAGCTTTGGTCTATACTTACAGTGCTCTATCACCTTTTACTTTAAAATTAATACATATATAATAATATACAAATATAATTAATATATAATTAAACAAATTGGGTTGGAATACAAGCAGTGGAGTGGCAAAACTAACACAATTTTAGTCTTTGCCTAGTGAAGCTTGTATTACATGCCGAACTGCCATCTTGCTTTTGGAATGGGAATGGTCCAATCGAAGAATTGAAATCAAATGCAAATAATTTTACTTTTTAACTCTTTTGCCAGTTCTTTGCATAAGCGACATCTATTTAATAAACAGATCAAAAAGTTAAAAACTATGAAAATGCTCCTACATACAATATAGGCGGATCCTATAAGAGCTGCAAGTAAATTTTGGGACATTTTATTAAAAAATTAAATAAACTTCACAGTATATAGCCAATAACATCAAATTCATAATTTATTATGTTATGTTTTGTTAAAAAGTATATATATTTGACTCAAAAATTAATCGCCATAAAGAGAAAGTTTACATGAATGCCCCCCAAAAAAACTATCCCTTACTAAAAAGAGTTTACATGAATGCCCCCAACAAAACTATCGATTACTTAAAAGACTTCAATTGCTTGCAAGTGACATCACAATTTTTCGTTTCTCGCTTCGACTACAACTTGCAACAAAAAATTTTCTCGTTGTTAATTTGTATCGCGCGCTGAAATATGGCTTGCTTACAGCTGAAAGAAGAGAAATCGCCCGACGAAACAAATGATGTGATTGTGATACCTGATCGCGAAGATGATGTAAGTGATATTAGGAAAACTAGCTCTCATGTACATGCATGCATGTATGTACATACATACAGACCTGCCTGTGTGTGAGTCGGCAAGTGACGCATTTAATTGTGTTTTTCTGTATGCATACCACCTACAAATCACTAATGTCGCCCTCTCAATCGGCAGGACATATGTGAGCTGGAGCACTTGCGTAAGCTGTTTATCGGCGGACTAGCTCCGTACACCACCGAGGAGGGATTGAAGGTGTTCTATGGTCAGTGGGGAAAGGTGGTAGATGTCGTTGTTATGCGCGATGCGACTACCAAAAGGTCGCGCGGCTTCGGTTTCATTACCTATACAAAGTCCGTTATGGTGGACAGGGCCCAGGAGAACCGTCCACACATCATCGACGGAAAGTAAGTATAGCCCATGATCTTCAGTACCGTGGTTAATTGGAAACTCCTATCATTACTTTTACTTTTTAAGAACTGTTGAGGCTAAGCGGGCTCTGCCACGCCCTGAACGCGAATCGCGGGAGACTAATATATCTGTAAAAAAGCTGTTCGTGGGCGGACTAAAGGACAACCATGATGAAGATTGCTTGAGGGAGTACTTCGTCCAGTTCGGAAATGTGATCTCTGTTAAATTACTTACTGACAAAACCACGGGAAAGCGCCGTGGTTTCGCTTTTATCGAGTTTGACGACTACGATGCCGTAGACAAGGCTATTCGTAAGTACTGAACGTCTAGGTGTTAAACTAATATAAAACCTATCCAACTTGTGTTTGCAGTTCAAAAGCAGCATTCAATTAAGTACGTTCACGTGGATGTTAAGAAGTCAATCTACAACCTGGAGAAGAAGGACAAACAGATGGGAGGTATGACCAACGGCATCAAGCCGCCGGTCAATCACCAACAACAACAGCAGCAGCCCCAAATGCCTCCACCACAACAGCAACATAACGGGAACATGGCGATTCCTTACCGCCCACCTGTAACTCCAACCCAAGTAATGCCGCCCTATAATCAACAGCCACCACCCCCTCCGATGAACGCCCCACCACCAAACTACAACTACTGGGGAGCTCCTCCACCGCCTATGCATCAATACTATCAACAGCCGCCTCCGCCTCAGATGAATGCCTGGGGTCCATATCCACCGGTCCAAAACGGTTGGAATGCACCACCACCACCGCCACCCGGGGCCCAGCAATGGCACCCCAGCCAGTGGGGTTGTCCACCGCCAGTGCAACAGATACCTCCGTCTGGCGGAGTGCCACCACCTATGGGTCATAATGGACCGCCTCCTCCAGCTCCTGGCAGCTGGAACATGCCACCAAATGCCCCGCCACCAGTGCCTGGAGCACAAACTCAACAAGGTCCGCCACCTCACCAACAACCCCCGCAACAGCAGCAGCAACAGACATCTCAGCCAAACTTCGGCACCGGATATCAACAGAGCTATGGAGGCGGACCAACCAAACACAATAATATGAATGGAAACCGCATGAATCCTTACTCAGCAGCCCCGCCCAGCAACTACCGTAAGTGGATTCCAACAATAACAATGTGTATTAACTAACAACGTAGATTTGTAGATAACCCCCAACAGCCAGCATACCCGTCTTACAATGGAGCTCCGCCTCTGAATGGAAACGTTAATTCGTCGACTGGCACTAAGGCGGTGGGCGTCTCTAACGGCTCCGTGGCCACTGGAGGCAGTGCCAACAGCAAGTATCGCCGCTAAACGGGGTGAGTATGGTTGTGATGGTGCAATCGCAACCAGACACAGCCCATTAGTCGTTCTTTTAAATGTGGCATATGCATAAGAGTTACCCCAATACGTCTTGCCACCTATATACTACCCGCCACAGATGCACTACGTCTGAAGTCCGTGTTAATTTATTATTACTAACGTGTAATATTTTCTTTGATTTAGATGCTCAAGAATCAAGATACAGTTAAATAAGCTCGTTGATAAGCTAGGCCACACTCTCTTAGAGTTTCTAAGAGGAGTGTTAACGCATTGTCTCTCTTTCATAGGACACCTAACTATGGTTTTACTCTACACTTAAGTTATACCAATGATTACTCTACGATTGACCTAAGCTATGCCACAGAATATTTTTAACATCGTCTTGGAGGAAGTGAGTTCGTCTCCCATTTCGATTTACTTTAGACCTATATATGTAACTCAGAAATCGTAGAACAACCAATTACGATATAAAACTAAGCTCTCTCAATCCAATTATCTCTATATCTGTAAAATGAAGCAGGCAACCATGAGATAATATTTGATTTAAAACAAAGGTGGACGGACAATTGCAAGCAGTAAATCAATTAATAACTAGATACATAATATGCAACTGTAGCCTGAGCTTATTGGCCCAAAACGAATAGCTTAATCGTAGATACCTATGTATTACCAAAACCATTCAAATATGATATACGTCCAAAAGATAATGAAAATATTCGGATCTGAAATCAAATGAAACACTGAACTGGCAGGCCAGGCGCGGGTGCGTGGCCTTAACTATCAATGTACACAAGAGTTGATATCAAAACTATTGTCAATTTTTATAAGGAGAGAATCGGAAGCTTATATACTGACACAATGTTAAAGGTTTCTACTATAACCTCCCACGACATTTACTTAACTCTTTTTTTTTCTTTAATTTGTATGACAAACTTATGTAAGAATAAATAAAATCTGATAAGATTGTATGTATGTTTTTACCTGATCCATGACACGAACTTAAGTTAAGTTTATATATTCAGATTATCTAGATGTACGATTCATCCTCTCTCTTTCTCCTATATAAACTAAAGAGCACGCCATGGGCTTTGAATTGATCTATGAATTAAAAGAAATACATTATGTTTTAAGATAAGAGGAGGCTTAGTCCGCCTTTAGCCAGCTTCATTTAGAGCTCCTCTGCTTCTTATACAGCATACAACACTAACCACTTAATCGAACTATATATCGAAATCAATATTTATTTTAAATAAATAAAACTTTAAAACAACACTATGTATTTGTTTTAGCTGCCGATATGTAAGTCTGTCATTCGCCCTGGTCTAAGTAGCGATAATCTATAAACTATTTACCGCAAGATGTAGTTTTGCTATAAATTTAATCATATTCTACTCATAAACAAGCATGCTAAGCTGTTAAACGCTTGGGCCAAGCTTTATTCATAAGGTAAGTTAGTAACGGATGTAGGATACACTAGAGTTTCAATAAGTGCGCTTAAGTTTCTGCTTTATATGTAGCATGACAACACAACAATTATTTAGTTCTAAAGCATATTTCTTTTCCAAAAAAAATCTGAGCTCCGCTGGAGAAGAAGCCCAAACTAGATGACCCAAAATTCAACTACATATTAAGGTAAGTGAAACAAAAATTAAGTTAACTTGAAAAGGAAGATTAATAAAAAGAGTTGCTGAAATCAAAAATATATGTGTTCTTATTCCAAACGAACATGTTGCGGGCCAACATGTTTGAGGTGGCCCCAAATGCTCCAGTTTAGCGATCCGTAATCATTTGGAAGCTTTTCCAAAGGCGATCAGTCAGTCGCCATCCGCCAACAAGCTTAGACATTTAAAAGGAAAAACTTAGTTAACAATTTTACAGTAAGTATTTAACCAGTGCAACAAAGGATTAAGTGTGGATTGTCAACAAGTGTGTGTCAGATACAGATACCTTAATTGTTTCTCAAATTTCTGCTAGTTCAGCTTTGGCTCGAATTCTTCAAGTTCAATGTTCTTCGATATTGGCAAATAGTCAATAATTGGACTCAATTTTCGTTGAAATTTGCCAATTACTTTGCCAGAAATCAAAAAGATTTTTGCAAGTTAACTGGAAAGAAACCTAGTTAAGTGATTTGCAAGGTCACCAGTGTCCAGCAATGGTTTCATCATCATCATCATCGTCGTTTGTGATTTGCACTTCCGCAAAATGAAATAAATTGTTTTTACTGGAGGCCTCATTTCACTCATGATTCGTTGGCCCCTTCAACATAAACATTGCATCTTGGATGCTGCATCACGTCATTGTTTCTAGTTTTGTCGGTATAATTAAACTGCAACCACACAGACCCACACATCAGTGCATATAGTGAAGTGCATATACATCTGGAATGCACTGCAGCAGCAGCACTGCATCCAACTCGGATATTCCTGGAACCCCCAGTCCTACAGATCGTATATACATTTCTCAATTGCCAGATACATTGCTGCGCATTTCACTTGATATTTTGCGACACAAAAGCGACGATTAAGCACATCTTGGTCCCCAAAACGGAAGCGAGCGATCCTGATAAGAGGCGGTGAGGCCAAGTCGGGCCTGCGATAAGACAAATGTGTCGTTGGGCAATTAATGTACTCCATAGAGCACATGTACTAAGTCGAAGCATAGAAACTAGGGCGGCGTTTTGAACTGATTATTGGTGGGACTATGGAAATTCGGCTTGAATTGACTCTGTATATGTAGCTTTAAGGTCAGCTTTAATCAGGGATATTTTTATACATACAAATACTATATGCATATGTATGTTTGCTTTAGCGATGATTTCATAAACGATTTTTGAAAAGCTTTGAACTGGCCCACATGTGTTCAACATGCCTCAAACTTTTTGTATACGAAAAATCATATTTCTTTGCGGTTGCAATAGGAAGAAAACTATTCGCAGTTAGAAAAACAAATTTTCTAAATTCTGAGATTTTATCCTCTCTCATGAGTTCTCTTTCAAAACCCCTACATCTATAATAAGTATCTTCCCCTACTGCATGCCTCATTCCCTGTCAACAATGAGTTTGTATTGTTTTCGAACCGATTGGCATAGATCCATAAATTAACTTCCTCATAAAAGGAGAATTTCTGCATCTGTATTTGTGTAAAATACATTCACGTTGACCTTTTGAACCCTGCTGTAGAGGCAGGCAAGATTTTTGCGGCTTCTTCAATTGTTTTCAATGAGGAAAAGACGCCGCATTCGCATCGCCTATTGGGATATAAAAACCACCCTATAAGATGACCGTTAAACTTCCTGTGGAGTACAGTAACCTTAGTGGTACAGCCAAAAAAGCGTGTTATATGGGATTCCATAAGACGCTAGTTAGGCCAAGGCCAAAGCTAATCTTAAATTTGGATTTTCCCAATCCAAATGATTTGATAACCTATTTTATTTAGAAATTGACATGACCGTCTAAGTTTTAAATTAGATCAGATTATTCATTGTATTAAATTATCATAATTAGTAACGTTTTTGTGTAAAAAGGTTTTTAAACTAAGTTTAGAGATCACTTTTAATGTCCTACTCAATCCTCTGTAGTTGAGATCGCTGCCAAGATGCGTTCCCTTTGGCTGCTGCTCTGCTTGGGGCTGCTGGCTTTTAGCCAAGGCCAAGCCTCCTCGGAGGATCTAGACGATCTGTTGGACCTAGACCTGTCAGAAATCGATGAGAACGAGGAAGAGTTCTTGCGCCTGCTGGAGGAAAAGAACAAGGTTGGTTACTCTAAGGTAAATGAGTAAATAGTTTAGTCACAAATTCCGATTTGCAGATCAAGGACGTGGAGCGGGAGAACGAGATTGCCAGCAAGTTGGCCGAAGTCCAGCACAATTTACTCAATCCCGTTGTCGAGGTGGATCTTTGTGAGACAATGCCTTGCGGTGCCGGTCGTATCTGCCAGATGCACGACGACAAACCCAAGTGCGTGTGCATCCCAGACTGTCCCACAGAGGTGGACACTCGTCGCCTCGTCTGCACCAACACCAATGAGACCTGGCCGTCGGATTGTTCCGTCTATCAGCAGCGCTGCTGGTGCGATAGCGGAGAACCCGGCTGTACCAACCCGGACAATGCTCATATGCACATCGATTATTATGGTGCCTGCCACGAGCCTAGGACTTGCGATGGCGAGGACCTGAAAGACTTCCCCAGGCGAATGCGCGACTGGCTGTTCAACGTGATGCGGGACCTGGCCGAGCGCGATGAGCTGACTGAACATTATATGCAGATGGAGCTGGAGGCCGAGACTAACAACACACGTCGTTGGTCGAATGCTGCTGTTTGGAAGTGGTGCGATCTGGATGGCGATACTGATCGCTCCGTGTCCCGTCACGAACTGTTCCCTATCCGGGCTCCGCTCGTCAGCCTGGAACACTGCATTGCCCCCTTCCTAGAGTCCTGCGACTCCAATAACGATCACCGCATCACCCTGGTTGAATGGGGCGCCTGCCTGGAGCTGGATCCTGAGGACCTCCATGAGAGATGCGACGATGTCCAGCGTGCTCAGCCACATCTTTTGGGTTAACCAACCCCGCCAAAAGGTCATTCTGCACTCATGTAGAATGCAATAAGTAGTTACTACTTGCTTCCCTAATCCAAAAATGTCTACTTTAGCAAGTTTTTGTCTTATGTGCTTGGTTTTTAATGTAATAAATGATAAATTCTTTGAAAGTATGTGCATTTGATATTATTTCTTCGTTATTTTTCGTCAAAGTAGCAGTTAAAAAAACAGTCTATTATTTAACATCTATAATCTTGACGATAAAAATCCACAGTTGTGTTAACTTTGTAAATATAGCAGTTATTTTTTCTTTGGGCATTTGTATTTTTATTAAGGTTTACAAATATGTTTGTTTTGAGATAAATGCGTTAAATAAAAATCAATTTCTTCACGACATTGAAATTAGACTGTACTTTTCACATTGAAAATCGTGTACTTTTTACATCTGGAATAAGATACCATCCAGTTTCAATACATTACATTCATTGCCAGAATTGTAAACATCTCGGAAATAACAGGATTGGCGTTTTTATTATAATTTTTATTAAATTTATTCGTGTAATTACTTTGCTCTAAATTAAGTTTTGTTTTTGTTTCATATTCAACCTCGACAAGACTGCGTGCGGGTAAATACATTTTTTTTGTGTGTTTTTTGTATGTTGTATGCTTGTGAGTGTTGGGAGATGCTAGAATTACATAGTTATGTATTACGTTGTATATTAGAAGTATGTGCTGGCGCACAGAAATGATTACAACTCGTCGGTTTGTTTGCTTGTCTCTGCTGAAATCTGATTTAAACATTAGTTTCGCATGTTTTGAAGGCGTCCATGTGCTGGCTTCTGGCTTAGTAGGCCTGCGACAGAATGACGTTGCTCTTTCGCTGCGGATCCTGAACCGTGTCCTCTTTCTTTCCGATCAGCGACTTGTGTATGTGCGGAATGACACCGCCACCGGCAATGGTTGCCTTGATCAGGCTGTCCAACTCCTCGTCTCCGCGAATGGCGAGCTGTAAGTGGCGCGGCGTAATACGTTTCACTTTCAGATCCTTCGATGCGTTGCCTGCCAACTCCAGAACCTAAAATTGAAACAATAAATTGAAGAATTAGTAATTGAAAGGTTATATAAATACTATAAAAAAATAAGAAAATTTTTTGATTGAGAACAAAATAACAATAACAAAATTGCCTTTAAGACGAGTTACATTCAAAAATTCTGTTAAGCTAGTTGAAATAGGAATAGGTTAAAAAAAAAACAATTTAACAATAAAATTAAAATATAACTGTACTTAACAAAATAAATTCCAGATTGCTATTATTAAAAACAGGACGACTCTTGTTTATTTCATAGTAATGCTGTACATTTTCATCATTCTTTTGTTTCAAAAATGCCAATAGGAAACTGTGTTTTTCCATTGGCGCGGAAAAAGTACCGCTAGAAAGCCCGCCTTGGGGAAAAGCGGGAATAATCAGTGGGCGCACTTACCTCGGCGGTCAGGTATTCCAAAATGGCAGCGGAATAGACGGCTGCGGTGGCTCCGACACGGCCGTGTGATGTTGTGCGACTCTTGAGATGACGGTGGATACGACCTACGGGGAACTGCGAAACAAAAAAACAAAAACACAATGGCTCCGTGTTAATTAACCCGGCTTGTTTATGTTTTGTCACCCCCTCCACCAAGCAGCTCACAGGCACCCTGTTTATGTGGTGGAATATGCTTGCTGGCGAGGTGAGAACCGAAAAGGCGCCAAAACGGAGGTACAGATTGTAAACTTACTTGGAGACCCGCGCGCGCTGATCGTGATACCGCCTTCGCCTTAGCCTTTCCTGAATCTTTGCCTGCTTTACCGCCAGCCTGCAAATAGTGCACAACACAATTAATTTTTAGATATACAATTGGTATAAAACACAAGCAGTAAAAAACACAAAATGGTGGCACTGGCTCTGCTGCAATTGTGAGGTTACGGCCGATCTCCCACAGCAGCACAATAACAAATGCCCGCCGTTTTTTTGGGGCTATTTGATTTTCGATTAACAAGCTACGTGGTGTCAACCGCCACTGCATTTTGCATTTTTCACATTTTGGCATCAATATTTAATTCGCGAAGGGCACGCGCATTGCGCTCAAATTTCGCCGCAAATTACCATTTTTATTCAATCGATTTTTCTGCTGCTCGTTAACTGCGCTTGCGAAATGCTCGGGGCACTTTATTGTTGGTTTTGGCCGAGATGGGAATGATTGTTTTATTGCAACACGAAACCGAAGCGTGTGGTTGTTTCTGCGGAATTGGACTCGACTGCTCGCCTCTTGAAATTTTTTCGGGAAAAGACGCCGTCAGCGGACGCTAGAGATGGAACTGAATTCATCGATGTTTCCGCGCTCATCGGTATAATCCGAAAATCGGTATAGAGCTGCACATCCCTAAACTGCGACCTCTTTTTGCCGCGCATTAGCCAATGGCGCTAGTTTTCAGGGATGTCAGGCTTTCGTGCTCAAACTCTCAAATTAATAATAATAATAATTTTAATGCAAGCATCCGTTTATAGTAGTCAGTTTATTTTATATTAATAAAACAATTTTTATAAAAAGAAATTTTAAAGTTATACTGGATCTATTGTTATAGTTGAACCAGTTATTTTACAAAACATAAGTAGTTTTTTAGAGAAGTCCTATTACAAGGATAAGCATTTTTTCTGCCCTCTGACAACCCTGCAGGACGCTTCTCCTCGCCCCGATTGGCAACCCTGTGGGCCGGGCATTTCGAGCGGTATTTGCGAATAGTACAATTATCCGCGACTTAATACGAAAATGCCGCGTGTAGTTAAGCCCAAAGCCGCTGCTCCGGCTAAAAAGGCCGTTCCGGCAAAGAAGGCCAAGAGCAAGCTGTACGCAATGCCGGAAAAGGTGAAGGAAGGTACCGTCTTTACAGATTTGGCGAAGGGCCAGTGGCGCATTGGACCTTCGATTGGAGTTGGAGGATTTGGCGAGATATACGCCGCCTGCAAAGTAGGGGACAAAACCTTCGATGCGGTGATAAAATGCGTGAGTTGCATTTAAAGTTTTCATTCTTGGTGTTCCCTTCTAAGCCCGGTTTTTTTTTTTTTCAGGAGCCCCATGGTAATGGCCCGCTTTTCGTCGAGATGCACTTCTATTTACGCAACGCCAAGTTGGACGACATCAAACAGTTTAAGCAGAAGCACGGCATAAAATCTCTGGGCATGCCGTACATACTAGCCAATGGCTCGGCGGAGGTCAATGGCGAAAAACACAGATTTATAGTAATGCCGCGCTATGGCAGCGATATATCCAAGTTTCTAGAGGAAAACGGCAAGCGTCTGCCCGAGGGAACTGTCTACCGACTGGCCATCCAGATGCTGGACGTCTATCAGTATATGCACGGCACTGGCTATGTTCATGCCGATCTTAAGGCAGCCAACATCCTGCTGGGCCTAGGAAAGGGCGGAGGAGCACAAGCCTACCTCGTAGATTTTGGATTGGCCTCACACTTTGTCACAGGGGACTTTAAGCCGGACCCCAAGAAAATGCATAATGGCACCATTGAATATACATCGAGGGATGCTCATTTGGGTGTACCAACCCGACGGGCTGATCTAGAGATTCTTGGCTATAATCTTGTTGAGTGGCTAGGCGTCGAGTTACCCTGGGTAACAAAGAAACTACTAAATACTCCCATTAAAGTTCAAAAGGCGAAGGAAGAATTTATGGAGGACATTGGAGAGAGTCTTAAGGCTCTGTTCCCCAAGGGAGTGCCCGCCTGTATATGGGATTTCATGAAATATGTTACAAAATTACAGCACAACCAGGAGCCGGACTACGATAAATGTCGAAATTTCTTTGCAAGTGAACTCAAGCAGTTAAAAATCCCAAATAGTGGAGATTTAGATTTCAAGTTAAAGCCACAGACCAGCAGCAACAATAACAACAGCCCACCCGGCACAAGCAAGGCAGCCGCAGTAAAAAAGGTGAAGAAGATTGAATCTCGTGCAGACTCATCTACAGAGGAGGTAATTGAAGCCAGTGAAGACGAGGAGGAGGAAAAGAAACCGCCTCGAAAGAATACAGCTAGGAAGGTTTCCCCGGCAACCCGCAACGTCATATGTTCGCCCTTGAAGCGATCTGCCCAATCCGTAGCAACAGAAAGTACACCTCCCAGCCAGAAGCGCGTCAAGACTGAGCCCAAGTCCACTCCCGTGCCAAGGGGTACGCCCAAAACCAGTCCTAAGTTAAAAGGCACTCCCAAAGTCAGCCCTAGGGTTAGAGGCACACCCAAAGCCAGCCCTAGGGTTAGAGGCACACCCAAAGCTAGCCCTAAGCTACATACCCCCAGTTCAGCGAGGCTTAAGACTCCCGGTGCCAGTGCCAAAGTAAATTTTAGTCCCGGGAATTTCGTTGCGTGGTCGAACTGGTGGCAAAACTGTGGTCAACGACAGTCTAACCCCACAGCCCCGTTCCAATAAGACCTACGAGTTTAACTTCGAGCTAGACGTTAGCATGGATGCCAACGTGATTGTAAATGTTAAGCGCAAGAAGAAGGCGGATAAAGATAAGGCGGCGAAGGTTGAGTCAAGAACACCATCTTCACGCAGTTTGGCCGCCAGTTTGAAGGAGGAAAGTTCTCCCGCTACTCGGGTGAACTTGCGCAAGGTGAATGGTCTGGAAAACGAAGCTGATACCCCATCTTCTAACTGTAGTCCGCGGACACCTTCTGTTACTGTGCGGAAATTCAAGCGATAGGTCCATAGTCCTTGTTTTCTGTATTTTTACATGTATACCTCTTAAATAAAAAAGCTCATTATGTTTCAAAGTGTAAATACGTCTAAAGTTTATTTTAATATAAATTGGTAGATTAAATTCTTATTGTTTGAATATAATATTTAGATCTCTGGAAAATTAAGAGAATAAAATGCAACAAAGGGCATTCACTTTTGAAGGTAAAAGTTTACAGTAAAATGGAGTCAACTAAAGAATACGTTACACGTTTCGAATATAAACGAATAAAAAATAGTTTCCATACCTTTTTCTCTTGCCTTAAACTGGGTACATAATAGTTAACAGTGTTACTGCTTCGATCTGCGCTTGCTGCTGCCGCTTTCGTGGTGTTTCGAGGAACTGCTTTTGGAGCTGGACTTGGTGCTAGAGCTGCTACGTCGCGAAGAGGAGGTGCCACTGCCACTGCTGCTATGCTTCTCGAGACCCCCGATAGCACTAAGAGAAGGCGTCGCTGTAGATTTAGACGATCGTTCCTCCTTGTGCGACTTGGATGAAGACGAAGAGGAGGACTTGTGGCCGTGTTTACTGCTGCTACTACTACTGGCATTGGTGGAGCTGCTGGGCTCCGGCCTGTAGAAGGGCGATGAGGAATTGGATGAGTTGGAGGAGCGCGACGAGGCTGCTGAAGACTTGGCTTTGCTAGTCAGCGGCATGGGTTCGTCGGCTATGAAAACAGTTGGCGTTACTGCAGGTGCAGCTGTAGTTTTTCCACTGGTTGTCGGCTTATTACAGCAGGTGTCGCATTGCCAGGTCTGTTCTTGGTCATCGGCCGCCTCCTCCTTAGTTATCGGTGGCTTATGGCACTCCTGATGGTACATGGCGCCGCACTTGGAGCACTCTATCAACCGGTTGGTAGCTGTAAAGACCATTTCGCCGCAAACACAGCAATTGAGGTCGCCAAAGTCACCGGTGTCTCCAGTATTAACGATTCCCACGGCACTCAAACCGTCGTCCGAATCCGCAATAGTGTCAACTGAATCCGAAGGCTCCTTGTCCGGCGAGTTGGTCAAATTGATAATCTCATCCGGGTTGATAGGCTGCTGCGGTGGGGTAGCCGCTCTCCCCGGAAAATTGGCTTCATCCTCCAGCATACGCGGTGTCATGTTGTTCGTCAAACTCTTCTCCGGGCCATAACGTGATTTCAAAGCCTCCTCAAGAAGTATACGTAGTTCAATCGAAGAGGAGGGATTAGTGGAGTGCAGTAACTTGATGGCTTTCTTAAGCACGGGGTCAACTTCTTGGGCAGCAGCAGCTGCAGCAGCAATATTGGCGGCCATCGTGAAATCCGACAAATATAAGAAATAAGCCAAAGGTAGTTTTTGCAAGCGCAACAGCTGTTTGCCGGGCCAGTGTTTACACACTGTCAGATTAAGCCGCTGCCATTCACAAGTTAACGTGAGTATTAGCGGTAAACTTTTATTTGAATTGTTTTCATTGTGAAAGATATTTATTTCTTTTACGCCTATTATATGCTTAATGTTACAAAGATATAAAAACAGGTATTCAAGGTAAGTCTATTGCATACATTCACCATTTGATTATGTAGTATACGTAGACTTTGTGTATTTGAAAGCGCAACAGCTGCTCGTCCAGTGTTACCATATTGCTACATCGCTTACTTCTTCTCGGCCCATACTATTCGCTTGTAAACGTAAAATAACAGTTCCAATTGGTACTGTTGTGTTTTTGGCCAGGTAACTAAGCCGCGAATAAAAAGGTATATTTAGTGTAATAATAGCCATTTCTCCATTGTTCACGTGCGGCATAATTCCTTTCGTGCAATTGAGTCACCGGGCATTGTTTATTCGGTGTACTGCACGTAGAAAAAAATTTCCATCGGATCATCGTTGAAAAATCGAAGCAGAGAGCCAATTGGAATTGCAATAACAACTTGGCTCTCTCTCAAAATAAACAGTTAACTTGTGATAAGGGAAATCAAATTGCTTTGTGCGCGAAACAAAAGTGATAATCTTAAAGGGGAATTACTAACAAACAGTTATAAGCAAAGTGCAGACGGTTTCCAGTGCGCTTGACTCATTTTGTGTAAAATAAATATTTCAGAGCCTGCAGGTGACAAAATGCGTTGCAGTTTGCAAAAGGACTGCGCAGCTCCCACGCAGGAAAAATTTCGTCAGGTGGGTGCATACATTTCCATTATACTGAGAAAAATATTAATTTTAAATTTAATATGTACATGTATTTTAAATTTCTGCAGATGCGTTGCCAAATTCTGTTTACACTGTTTTTAGTGTTGTTTTGCTGCGGCGAATGTTTTGCCGTTGACGCAAATGATCAGCTGGTAAGTGGGCGGTGTTCAGTGGGTGGGTGGTAAGTGAGCGGTGGGTGGTGTGTTGCAAGTTTTCCGTGGTGCAGCTTGTGGGTGGCATGTGAGCGGTGAGTAGGTGTCAAGTGGGCGGTATGTTGGTTGCAAGTGAGTCGTGGGCGGCGAGCGGCCTTTGGGTGGCAAGTGAGCGGTGGGAGTTTTATTTCAAGTTTATCTGCTTGTTGCCACTGCGCACTTGTTGCCTTTTGGCCGAGACCTCGAATTTGGCTTTCCAGTTGCAAGTTTTCCAGTCGCTTATCGCATCCAGTCTTTGTTAGAAGTCATTTAACTTGGCCAATAATCAATCTACAGTCATAAAGGAGCCATAGAAGTTAGCAGAAGTGTTTTGACAAGAATTAAAATTTATGTTAAATATCTTCATAAAAAAATATCTAATTTAATTTTGGTAATTTCACAATCTAGGTAAGCAGTGCATAGCGCCTTGTTATATTTTTTCGTTTGAAAAAACTTAATTATTCCAAAACACATAAAATGTATCTTTCTTCATTAGAAAAGTAATACGCATTTGGGTTTGGTTCTTAGATTGCAATTAATATATTGAAAAAATATATAGTTTTTCGAGATGGAAATTACCGCTGGGTACACATTTTCCCAAATTTGTTCATATTACTTTTATATAAGTCAGCTTGAAATGCTAAATAACATAAAAGTTGAATTCCTCATAAAAAAATGTTCTATTTCATGAAGGAAATAGTTTTTAACCAAGGACGTATTATAACCTAATAGTGTTGAATTAGAAAGAAAGGTTTTGGTGAATAAATTTACAGGATACACATTTTTTCCAAGAAGTTTTCAGAAGTGACCTTGAATTTCATAGAGAGACATATACAGAATTTACGTTAATCTCTTAAATATAAAGTGTTCGTTAATGATAATAATTTACTTATTAAACTACAATATTACTAGAACCTTAAATTTAACATTTTAAATTGATAAACATAAAAAAAAGTAAAAAATATAAAACAAAAATTCTATGTCCAAAAATTTAAAAAGAATAAAATTGGACAACTTTTTGGCTTACCCTATAACTTTTAATCCATTTTCCTTAGAAATTTTCTACCCCAGGATGTAAGATTAAGGAGCCCATCTATGGCAGCACCTTCGACTTCAATGGCCTTCTCTCGGATCTGGCTCATGTGGTGAAAAGCGTTGATGGCGAAAAATTCGAGTTTAACGTATGCGGCAATCTCTCCAGAACCTGCAACGGCGAAAAAAATGTGGCAGCTTGCCTTAAAAAACAGGGGAAGGAGTATGTGATAGGTAAGTTAATTCTAAGCACATTTTTAAAGCAATCCCCTTAAGATTCTTTTAAATCTTAGGTCGCCAACATGAGTTGTTTTACAACCATGGTAAAATGTATTTCGAGTATAAAAGCGGTGCAAAATGCGAAAATGGCACCGACAGCAATCCCAACTATCAGCTCCATGTGATGCTCAGCTGTGACTATACTTTGGATGCCCAGCCGATACATATAACGCCTTATGTAAGGATTAGTAATTATACTTTTTTCTGTCTTTAAAATATTAAGAAAATCTCTTGAAACTGGCGGGTTTCTTAAAGCTATGACCATAAGTTTTGAAGTATCCTTCTTAATTTCCTCTAGGCCAACAATGCCTGTTCTTTTTACATCAACTATGAGACTCCACTGGCCTGCCTTCCCATACCCGATGCGCTGCAATCGAATAGTTGTAGTGTGCGGGACACAAAAACGAATGGCACCTTTGACCTTATGCCGCTCAGTGATAGTAACTACCGAACCAGCAATCGACAGAACGCCTTCTTCCTGATCAATGTATGTAAGCCGGTGCTCTACGGAGAAAATAGCATGTGTCCACCAGGGAGCAGCATTTGTCTGTATAGTCCCAATGCTACTAACTCTACAGAACGGTGGGTAAACTTTTGACTTATATTGTTAAAATATTAGTCAAACTTTTTCCCCCTAGATTTATCAATTTTGGAAATGTACAATCTCAGCCGGTGGTGGAGAACGGACAGCTTTTGCTCAGGCATGAGTCACCAACACCGTGTGCGAAGAACTCTAGCGCCAACTACACCAGCGTGATTTACTTCAGCTGTGACAAGTTTATAAGGGTGAGTATCTTAGGTATCTTAAGAATATTAATAATTTTAGTTATAATGTCATTTAAGAATGCGCATCCGGAGTTCGCGGGTCTGGGAGCCGATTCCTGTACCTACCAGTTCAACTTTGTCACTCCTCTGGCCTGTAACGATCTTGATCCCTGCACAGCATATACTTCTACCAATGAGCTGTAGGTGGTCCCCATCATTTAATACTGTAATAAGTATTTAACTTTAAGTCCTGCTTTTTCTCTTCTTAGGCTGGACCTGAGTTCGCTTAGCTTAAAGCCGGCCCACACTTTGATGAAGGACGGCAAGAACTATACAATTGCAGTGTGCTCCCATGCTGGGCAGCCCTGCCAGGAAAATGGCGGTAAGTCGACCATTTGCGCACTTAAATATTAATATAGAATTTAAGTGCTGAAGCACAACTTATTTGCCATAAAAGAGTCGTAATTAAAACGGGCGTTCTGGGCTCAAAGTTAGAGTAGAGTATAGCCTGCTTAAGCTTTAAACCCTTTTCGATTCGAGGACTCTTGTTGTGCGGGATTAATGATTTTTTATTGCTCTTCCGCTCGAGTGGCCCTCATGGCCATAATCGTCTTGGTAACCAACCGGAGAGGAATGCTGGAAAAAATGGTAAGGGTCCGGTCAAGTGTTGACCATTTCATCCGGTTTCCATTAAAGCGCACACGAGTGGCTATTTGTAGGCCCCTCTACATATGTCCATACACATTCGCCCGCACTCGTGTGTTGGCCGTTGTAAAAGCCAGGGTATGATGATAATGATTTAGATCTGTGATGTGGTCCGTCATATATTTACATAATTTACGAGTCTGCCTGTGGGTTGGTCAGAACGTTCTCCTAACTGGTTATCCTTTGGCTCCACGTGAAAATTCAATTTACATTTTTTGACGTCAGTAATAAGTTTAACGTAGTAGACGCCCTTGTAATGCTCTTCTATTTATTTTTGTAAGCGTTGAGTTTCATTAATAAAAGGTGAGGTTAAAAAATGTTGGTTTAAATTTCAAAATATTCAAATTATCAATTAATGGCTTTTTCTGTGAAAATGTAATATTATATTTTTTAAGGCAAACAAAAATGCCCTATTGTTCGAAAAAAATAAAATTAACCCGAAAGGCTATAAAGTTAAACAAAAAATGGCATAACAAGTTATCAATTTGCTTGTCAGTGTTTTTTTCCGGGAACTTTTAAAATTGAATATTCTTTTTATCATTCCTTTCAAAAGCAGATGCAAATATCAAATTATTAAAAATCCTCGTCAAGAAACCTTTATAAACTTTGAAATTTAATTCAGATGTTTAAATTTTTAAAGCTAAATGCAGTCTTTTTCTATTTTTTCCCCAAAATAAAAGCTTAAAAATCAGCATATAGTTTACTCTGCCCGTCCAGAGCATAATCTTATGCTATATAGCATATAATGCCAACATATCCGCAGCTTTGATATTTTTCTATTTATGTGCTTTATATGCGCTGCATCAACATAGGGGACGGTTGGCCATGGCAAATAACAACTTTTCCTGATGTGGGCTGTTGGCAAGTGAAACGTGTCTCGTATTTGGTATCTGGTATATGGTATCCATGGAGCAGCAGCTCAAGCAGAGCCAGGATGTGTATCTGGGTGTTCGCTTTGGGTGTCCTGCATTCGTAGTTGACTGCAGACGCATATCCGTTGGCGTGTCCTTTTCGGTTGGTTGGCTCTCTCTCTCGCGAATAACGCGGCTCACACAGACCCTCAGCTACATATATATGTATGTATATAGTATGTATGCAGAGATATCATGGCCCACTGCTGGGCCTAAACAAATAAATAAGTGTGTGCTCCCTTTTGCCAAACTGATGTCCAGGCCATGAGGCAGAGACCTACATGAAATTTTCATTTGTTAGGCAAATAGCAGACCCACACACATGCGCGAAAGTGGGGAGCAGGACATGCTAGCGCTTTTGTAAACAAGCTGGCGCTTTATTACACTGAGAAAAAGGTATTGAAATTTGAAGGATGTATAATTCTTGAGACTTGTTTTAGTATAAATAGTCAGGAAACACTTAAGGCTTAACAACAATAAAAGTTGAAGTTCATATTAACTTAAGAAAAATTTATGGAAATCTAATTTTTAAGCTTAGAAATAAGAATCCCTTTTCCAGTGTACACACACTGCGTTAAAAGTTCGCTATTTGGCGCCCAGCTGACACTGGCAGACGGCATATTGTAGCCACCCCATCTCATCCTCCGGATGGGGCATTAAAATCTCCTGGTTTGCATAGCTGAATTCAATATTTGAAGGCATTTGGCAGGGGCTTGGCCCTGGCCCGTTCTCTGACTGCAAGTGAGTTATGGCCACGCCCCACGTTCAGCTATCAAATCCCCCTCAAAAAACCGCCCATATAAAATCCCGCCTCCCCAACTGCTGCTGTTAATTGCTTATGCAGCATGCGTTTCCCTGTCATTTTGTGTAATTTTCATTTGCGTTTTCGTTCTGCATTTTATATTTATTTATGGCGGGCCCCGGCAAATTGCATTTTTGGATACAGCTTGGGCGGGGGGATACGTATGGCCATACGTATTGCAGCATGTGATATGATCAGGCAGGCCTCATTTAATTGCACCTTGTCAAAATAATTGCCTAAGCAAATTTAGTTCGGTTTACTGTTTATAAAGAGCTTTATTATTGGTTTTATTTGAAAATTGCAGTTCATAAAAGAGTGATTTTAGATGATATTCGGTCGTATTAAACATTTTAGCGCAGTTATTAACAATAATAAAAGAATTAATTGACATTTGGGGAAATTTGGCAAATTTTGTACAACTTATATAACGTTAAATTATTGAGTTTTTTCTTAAAGAAAGCCTGTTTTTAATCTTATCTTATTTTTAGCTTAGAACGACACTTCCTTTTAATTTTCAGACTAGTTTATTTTTCAGTTTGTGTTTGGTTTTTGTTGTCTTTGGATAATAACATTTGCATTAGTTTACATAAGATAATCTTAACATATTTTGAGCAAATCTGGAGAATATCAAATTCCAATGGCACAGCACTTTTGTGCTTGTTGTTTTTCTTGAGCTGCTGCTGCTTTGTTTATAATTTCAATTTGCTGTTTTTATTGTTTTTCGTATTTTACTCCTTTTTATGTGGAGCTCCGACAACCCCAGCTTTTCTTGGTTATTTGTGTTGGCTCTGCTGTTGCTGCTGGCGGGCAAATTCAATTTGGCCCGAACTGGACAAAAACCGAACCTTCTCCTTCTCCTGCTCTCGCCAGCCGTAACTAACACTTGCCGGCAGCTGTTTGGCCTGGATGCGCCATCTAAAGTGGCATCAGGCAGCTACTAAATCGTTTATATTTGTTTTTCTCGCTTCTGCCGGGTTTTTGCCACCCCTTCGCTGCCAACTGCTGCTGCTGCTGGTCAATGTTTTTCGGGATACTTTTGGCCCTTTGCCTCCGATGTTTTCTTATTGAAATTCAATTTGCCCGGGGTTTTCTTAACCATTTACAGGCCCCCCTGGTTTTTGGACCGAAAATATTTTGCGGCATACCGTTGCCACTCTCGCCTTATCAATGCCACAAAGTCAGCTCCTTATATTTAACCCTACTCAGCAATAGGCGGAATTTAAACAATGTTTTGTTTCATGACCGCAATGCGAGGCCCAAGGCTGCTTTGAACCGAGATTGCATTGGGATTCAATTTACGAGGGTTGTATTGCTGTGTTTGTGACCAGGTCAATCTCGTTGGATAATCTTGACAAGGAAATGATTTCCACCCAAGGTGTATGTACAAGAATACATCATGGGCTGAGTTGTCCGGATGCCAGGCACAGCTGCGGTCGAAATAATAGTTCAAATGAGTTTAAAAATAAGTTTGGAGCTCTGAAAGTTGGTGAAAGGTGACATCTGAATTAGTTGTATATCCTTTAAACTGCATATTTCTAATTTAAAACATATTTTTAAGAACCATTTTAAAGGTGAATATTCTGCTCTGAGTCCGACTGTACAATCAAGTCCTTAGAGGACGTCTTCTGTTCTTCTCAGTTTTTGTGGTCTGCTAAATTCAATTGCATGCTTCCACAGGACACCAGCAAGTCCTGTTTCGAACATATATGCTTACTCCAGTGGAGTGTACAGACCGTACATACTCTTACATATATTGTCACGCAGCCCCACAATGTCATTTATCAATTTAGTTGACAGTCGATTTCTTTTTCGATTTGCCAAAAGCCACCTCAATTGGTCTTTTTCTCTTCCTTTTTTTTGGTATTTTCTCGTTGTTGGTCATGGCTCTTGATCCTGCATGTGTGTGTGGATATTTGTCCGATGTCTGCAATAAAGTATAAAAATATAGAAGGAGTAGAGAAGGATGGAGCAGCGATGTGAAGGGGTCTGAAATTACCATACTCTAGTCAAATCACAATCACAATGCTGTCTGCTCTAGGGCGCTCAATCAAAATCCGGCAAATGTGAGTGACATTGCTCAAAATTGTTGGGTTGCAAGTGAAATGGAAGATTGAAAAGGGAAGAGCCAAAAACGACAACTGCAGGGCAAAGTGGAGATTCTGTTTATTTCCATAAAATTGAGTTGTCAGGACGCTTTTAGCTCTCCAAACAACTTAATGTTATATTTAGCCAATTAAATCTCAAAATTTGGAAAAGCAAGGCCTTTGAATCGATTCATGTTTCCTCTACATTTATGCATAGAGGTATTGATGCGTGCCTGTTGTCCTTGGATTTTGATGCCACTAGACAACACTAGATGTTCCTGGCAGGAGGCGGCTCTAAAAGCATTCCAGTTGCTTGAACATTCTCGTAGATGGGGCCTAGCAAGAAAAAACCTCCTTGCAAGTTGACAAACAACGAGAACAATTAATTTCGCCTTTGATGTCCAGTTGGTTCTACTGCCGCTTCCTGTTATCCCTATTCCTAACGACTAACGCCTAGCGACTAACGCTTCATTTGCAGGAGGTAAAAGACCTGCCCTTAAAAGAGCACTATGGAAAATGATTTTACTATACAAGAAAAGGATCTTTTTGTAATAACAATATCTCACATTTGGAAAGCTTATATTAAGAAATCTCTTTAGAGACTGTTTTAACTAGAACATATTTTTTAAGTCTAGGGAAAAGCATACAGAAATTCTACAAAATTTTGTGCAGTGTAGTTAGGGAATATTTTTTTCGTCTAGGATTTGCCGGCTATGCTCGTGTTTTGTTTGCCTTTGAGATGGTCTCTGTTTTTCTTTTTGACTTTTTGGAACTTGGCGTTTGGCCGTAGAACACTCAATTGATCTGCCCGTGCTTTCCGTTCACTTGCAGGCGCCTGTTACAAGGAGAATTCCACAACCATCAGCCTGGGCAACTCGAACTCCCAGCTGCGATTCAATCAGACCGGTTCGCTGTATTTGCTGTACGAGGATGGTGCCGAATGTTCCACAGCAGCGGGCATCAAGCGCTGGTCGACGAAAATCGAGTTTGTCTGTGCGAACAATGCCACGAAGGACAATGGAGCCAACGCTGCTGGTGGTAGCGATTCTTTGAAAATAATTGAGGACTCCAATTGTCAGCTGTTGATCCAATATCAGACGCCGCTTGCCTGCCGGGAGCCGATTAAATGCAAGGCCACCATCTACGTGGACCACACGACGGATGGTCTGGGCAGCAGCGGTGACGAGCTGATCGACCTAACGCCATTGATTAGCGCCAGCGACAACTATGAGGCAAAAGTGGACCTGCCGGCCAGCATGGAGAACCTGGTGCCCAAGACAACTAAGGTGAGCTCGTTTGTAGTCCCTGATTTCCCATAGGCAAAAAGCCCAAAAACCAGACCGTAATTTGCTGGCTTTTGTCTTTGCCACTCAACTCAACCCGACTCCATACCATTCCGTTTCGCCCTCTTATTTCTTCGCAGTTCTTTTTGAATGTGTGCCGTCCATTAGTGCCCAAATACCAATTAGGCTGTGCCGGCGGATCTGCTGCCTGCATGGCCAAAGTGACGGCCGCCGGCGCCCCCGAGGAGGAGCGTGTAAGTACCATCTGAAAATCCATATGCATACATACATATACAGCTGCGGGCAAGATATTAGGTTGGAAGTATAGGAGTTTTTACTCTTCTTAATATTTTTGCATATTTTATATTTTCAAGACTGAAATGATAAGAACTATGAAAAATTATTAAATGCTAATACTAAAATGATTTAATAATCAATTATTTATTAAAATTAATTATTTATTTATCGAATATAAGTTGACTATGAGTTCTCTTAAGGTTTTTTATGGCAAATTATGAAATCAATTTTATTAAGCTCATATTATCTTGACCAGTGGTGTATATGCCTACTACAAAATGCCACAAAGGGTGGGTGTGTTGGCCACGTGAAAGAAAGCCGCTTATGTGCTTAAAACTCTTTCCATGCACATAACCTATGAGTGGACGGACGCCCAGGGAAACGCTCGTAATTTAAGTCCTTCTCTCTTTTCGTATTTCCACCTCATAAACGCCTCAATATGGTCGTGGCCTTTTGGTCAAATGCCCAAAATTGTGGCGCCATTCATGCATTAAATATGCAGCAATCTAATTGCTAAGCTTCGGCCACATCCCACCAGCAAAAAAAGGAACCTCTCGCCCATCTCAGCATCCTTAGGACCCCAAGGGACTGACCAGTGGATTTGGTTGCTTCATTAAGAAGAACCTCGTACTGGGGGACTGGGGATTCGTAGTCGAGCTCACACTGTCTGCCGTTGACAGCGGCCAAAAGTTGTTTAATGCCAAAAATCTCCTCGCTGAGCATGTGGCCAGTGGGTCAGTCCAGCAACTGTCCAACTCTCTGTGGGGTTTTCGGTGGCTAAATACTTAAGCCCACAAAAGTATGCAATGAAATTTGCTTGAAATGAGATTTCTGCCAGGACCACAAAATGGTCAAAAAAACGCTGCTGCTATCCCTAATGCCCGACGTCGGCTACAATCTTTGCAAATGAATGAGATAATTGGAGAGGATTTGCTTGAAATCAATAATTCATTCATCTAACCATTCCACATATCCGAGAAAATGGGTCTATCACAGATTTAATCTGAGTTTTCATTATATTAGTTTGAAAACCAAAAGAATACATTTATTTCAATACAATTTGGAAGGGATTCTAAGGGAATATTGTATTTAAAGATCTTCTTATTTATGGGTAGAATTCATATATTTTAAATTTACTTCTTGTTTGCGTGCCATCTCGATTATGTGGCCTTCGCGGCTTTCAGCAGCTTGAGTTTCGGCTTAGTGCCAGCCAGGTTGACTTTGTTGTGAAAGTTGGATGAATTATAGGGCTCCCCGCGAAGTTTCCCCGCCAACCGCACTCGCCCCACTTCAATCAGCACAATAATTGCATGCGACAATGGATGCATGCCAAGGGGGAGGCAATCGCTCTTTCTAGTGTATTTTCCGTATGCCAGGCCCAAAATGTCGACCTCTCGCGCCACCAGGAGCGAACCCTTTCCTTTCCGACCCCGCATTCTGGCACCTTCCGGCTCTAACTTTTATCACAAGCTGCACAAATTTCCCGGGAGCAAAAACATTGTTCAAGCTGCTAAAAAATAAGCACGTACGCGTTGGAAATGGCAATGCGCTGGAGTTGGTAGTGGAAAGTAGGGATAGGAGGCAGTTAAGTTGCTGGGAAGGCAGTGCTGTGGTCACAAGGGGTTCTTAGGGTCCTAAGACCCTTCTCTATGGGGAAAACATGTTTTAATTACTTGAGACCACTAATAATCTTTGGCTAACCGTCTTGAATATTAATTTCTTTTTATGTAAAGTTATCATACCTTTGAACTATGTCCCTGAAGCAATTATTTTGAAGTGGTTTAAATAAAAGAGAAACATTAGAGAAACTAATTTTAATATGATAACAACATTTTCCGAACCCCTGCTAAAAAATATTGGTGGAGCCTCTGGTCTAAATGGCAGTAGGGGGCCGGAGTTTTGTGGCTGGCAGCACGCGAGTGAAATATGTGAACATAACGTAAGGTCAGTCAACGTAACGTCGCGCTACGTAACGAAACGGAACGGAAGGAAATGGCAAAATGCGGCTTGGGGGGTAAAATATCTGTAAAAACAGCTTTTAGCGGCCAGCAGCATCCATGTGTGCATGTATCTGTGTGTGTGTGTGTGTGTGTGTAGGGGGGAGGGCAGTCGAGGGGGTGTGCCTACCGGCGACGTGCTCTGTAAAGCATTTCCGTTAGCGGGGTTGATTGGGCGGATGGGCAGATGGGCTTTTCTATATGGCTCCAAGTGGGTGGCGGCTTAAAGTGCCATCGGCTTTGTTTTCATGCTGCTGGCCTAGAAATAACGCAGTCATGGCAAATATATTTTTATAAAAATTCTATTGCTTTATTTTTGTTTCCTCCATTTACTGTATAAAGCAATAGATCACAGGAAAAAAAGTAATGAAGCTGAAAAGTTATTTATTTATTAAAAAAATATTATTTTGAAATATTTTTACTGACCAACATTTTCAGATTTCGGCTTTTTTAATATGTTCAAAGGTATCTTATTTATTTTAATCAAAATTAAAGTTTTGAAGCCACCTTTTTCGTATTGACTTACAAAGTCCAGTGTATGCAGAAAAGTATATAAAATGCATATAAATTGCCTAATCGATAAGCAAAGGTCGAAGGACAACAAAAATGTGCAAAGTACTACAAGAACCGATCCCAAAAATGTTTCACTAATAATGCAAATTGTTTATTTTAATATTCTTTTTTCTGTGTACCTTTTGGTACCTCCATCCCTGTTTACATTTTGCGCCACGTTTTGCATTTTGAAAATGCTTCGTTTCCAGAGCATTTCGTGTGCGGAAACGGAAATGTGCTGCTCGTAGCTGCTGACGCGCACTTGAACGTACCCCAATCCCCAAGTTCCCCACCCTGATTGGTGTCCTAGCTCCTTCTCCTGCTGTTCTGCTGCCTCCAGCTGCCCCGCAGCCACGCCCACTCATTGGCAGTTGTCGAACGTTGTCGCCTGCATTGGCATCTTGGCATCTCCCCAACTTCCCAGTACCCCTTCAGCCGTTATCGCATGCACATATTTTAATGTGCTGCCATTGCATATCCCCAGGCTAACAGCTACAATGGAAAGAAGCATTGCTAAATCCCAAGGGGAATTCCATTAACCCACTATGTACACAAGTCACCGATAAGTAACACAATAGAGAATAAAAAATATTGAAAAAGAGACTTAAGGCAAAAGGGTAGTAAGAATGGAACTTTAGTAGTTATTTTAGTTCTTTGCCTAAAGTCACCAAAATTTTAGATATTTATGAGAAAATAATATTTTCCACCAACTTTACAGGAGGCTTACTGAGTAAATACTAGTTTTAAAATTCTTACATCATCGAGTTTTCTTAATACAAAACTAGAAGATCTTTTAGCGTAAAATCATTAGTGACATCTCGCATAATCAACTCTATGTTTCAAATCTTCTCATCGTGTTTACTTTGAATCACTAAAATTGTCTTTAGGGGGTTAAGGGATGGCACTCCAGACATTTGTCGCCTGGTTCGCTTGACTTAAAGGAAACCCGGATCAGCGACACGTTTGATTTTTTGCTGGGAATTTCGTCTTGGATTGCTGCGAGTGCGAGTCAATTCATTGGCATGCAGGGACTCCATTGTCAACTCAATGGGGGCGTTTGACTTGTGCCAGTGCAAATTTGGCAACGTTCATGTGACTGGAATGGCAATTGGTCCCCCACTTCCCAATTTCCCAATCCAGCACTTCACCATTCCCCTTGGCCATTACCCTCTCCAACTTGCGGTGGGTGCATCTCCATTTGCATTTGCATTTGCACTTCCGACAATAACCACAAAATCGTCAAAATGGCTGCCGATGGGGGTCTTCGCCCCATCAAATCGGATTAATAATGAAATTGATCAAATTGTTGTGCAAACAGCTGAATGCCTTGCCAGCAGCAGCAGCTGAACAATGCGGGGAATAACTCGTCCTGCCTTGTCCTTCGTCCTTCAGCTCCCATTGTGCTTATTGTTATCCCAGTTATTGTCCTGTCCCTCAATGTCATGCCTCCTTCCTACCATTGTTGTTGTAGTTCCATGGATTCCTGTGAGTTTCAGTCTCGACCCGGCTATAATGTCAATGCGACCGCAGGCCAGTTGAACCGCCCACTAGACCGTCCTTTGGTCCTCCGGGTTCCTTGTCCGCTGGCATGTTTCTAGTGAATCGCTGAACTTGCGGAAATCTTTATTGCTTTTCAACTCAAGCATGGCCTTGTCCTTTTTTTCTTCGATTTAAGATGGAAAAAAACTGTATATACGAGTTTATACATCGGGAGATATGCATTTGATTCTATTAATTTATACTGACCAGCTTTAATTTATGATGTTCTTAACTTCTTTGAAATAAATCTAAAAATATTCTGTTTTATTAGGAAAACCTTACCTTCTTCGTACCACATTTTAGATTAAATCAAATCAGATTGGAACACAATTCCTCAAATCCCTTTCTTACTCACCCCTATTATTTCTCCCCATTGTCTTCTTTGACCACTCACTTCTAAATTCAATCCAAGTAAGAAAAGAAAACAATCTCTTCGCAATCCAAAATACATATAAGTTAAGGGCTAAGAACTTGGCCACTAATTAGAAGCAGCTACCTAAATAAATGTCGTGTCCTGAAATCCTTTTGAGAATCCAAAACAGTTCTTTTAATCTTCTACAGCTTTCTCGTTTCTGTGCAGCGCATTAAAGTTTTCGATTTGTTTCCCTGGCTGAGCCAAAGATTTTCCAACAATCAAGTCAAGATTTTCTTCTTGTTTTCCTGTCCCTTGTTGTGAGCTTGGCCTTGCCTTAGCCCTTGTCCTTTGTGTGTGTGTGTTTTGGGTTGTTTTTTTTTTTTTGTGCAACTCATTTATTTGTATCTGCAAACAATTAAGTTACTTTCTGTCTGGCCGGGCAGTCGTCGCTGGCATTTCCTTTTTTCTCTGTTATCCTTGAGAGGAAAGTTTTGCGAAACTTAAAAAAAATAATCACAAATATCCAGGCGCACGCACACTGGCAAACGGAAACATACAGAGAAGTTACTCGCTTGTTCAAATGCGATAAGAAAGTTTTTCAATAAATTTTGCACAGCAAGCTACTGGGAAAACTTACTGCCGAGCAGAACTGCTGCCTGCGTTTTAAGTCGGTAAGCTGGCGCCGACAAAGTCCCCTCGATTTGCCCTATTTCCCCTGGAATATCCTTTAGATCAGCTCACAGCATCCATACCCCCATCCATGCTAATGAGGATGCCTGACTGAAGGTCAGGAGGCCAGGATACCCATTCCTATCACAATCTCGTTGTGTATTTGCTGATGGCGCATTAGCTGCGATTTTGATTTTCAAATGGATTTTCAAAGGAGAGAAGAGCAGGAAACTGGCCAGTGAAACGGGCAGCAATAAATAATAGAGCAAACTGCTAAAACATCGCCTGAGCTGCATACGAAATGAGATCGGAGCCAAGAGCTTGGCACTGGAAAGTCCTGCTCCTAATACGTTTAAGATGAGACGACAACATGTGCAACGCTTGCCGCCATCGACCTTGTTGACCCGAGCATAAATCTTGTGCCACTCGAACGCCAATGCACTTGCCTCTTGCGCCTGACCCCCGTATTGCCCATTTTCCAAGTCCTAGTATCCCTGCTTTTTGCGCATTAAGCTCACGTCGTTGGCCGGCTAGTTGGATAGCTGGCAGCGTTTAAGCTGCCTGATTGCCAATAGCAGCAGTTAGCGAGCTCCAACGATGAGGGCAGCAACAGCTGCACAGGCGACAAGCAGGTCGAATATCTGAAAAATATTTGCTGTTTGGAAATATTCTATAAAATATTAATATGAGTATTAATATTTCCAAAGTTTATCTAATCAAAAATAAGTTTTAACGATAATGGTTTTGAATAAAAACATTCTCATTTTGTAGATATTTATTACTATCTTTTAAACTTTTGCTTGGGAAGTTATAAATCTTTTTTATTATTTAATATTTTTAAATATACAAAACAGATTCTTTAATCGGGTATCGGGTATCTTCTAAAAGTGCTTTTCATATCATATATATTTTCAATAGAAAATCAGTTTAGTTCCTGCTAGTCGAGTGTTCTATGCCATTGAACTATCCATTAAATTGTCGTTTGTGCTTACTCGGACCAGCATGTCCTGCATGCCAGTTATCATCGCATCGATGTGCCGGCCACTCCACTCTGAGTCCGGCTGATACGATGTTGGTTGGCCTGGACACCGACGACAACGATAGCAACAAGCAGAAATAGCCAGAAGTGGAGTGGGCGACACAGAGACGTGTGCGTGGCTCAGACAGGGATTTCGAGTTATTTGCCGCAATCTCAGACATAAAGTTAAACATTTCGCTTTCGCCGAGGTTGATTTAAGCCCCCCTTTTCACCACCACATTTTCCTCGTCCACAGAGCATGGGTTTCCCGCTGGTGTCACTGTCGCAAAGGAATCGCACCTTCGCCGAGTTGCTGTACTTGAAGGGAGACCCCTGTCCTACAGATAACACCACGGACCTCTCCACGCGCATCCTTTTCAACTGCAATATGCGTGCAGGTCGGGTAAGTACACTGCTAAAAACTATTCTGGATCACATGGCCTGATAAATTAGATTATGAAAAATAAAGTGAATTTTAAATTGTTTAGTAACTCGTAGGTTCAAAAGAGAAAGTTAAAAATAATTAAATATGCACCAGAAAAAAGTCAGGATATTTTTGAAAAGCACATTTTTAAGTGTAGTTCTTTACGAAAATCGTCACACCAAGGACCTTTGCAAAAGGAGTCGCCATTTTGCAAGGCTTTCTGCGGACAGCTTTGAGTGGTTGGGTTGGAGCACAGATATGCGATTATTTCATGGCCACTGGACCCATTTCTGGTGCAAATTGCTTGCATGCCCCTAATGGCTGTCCGTCCCTTCTCTTCTACCATTTAGGGACAACCCGTGTTGCGTTCGATTGAGGACTGTGCCTACAGTTTCGAGTGGGAGACCAATGTCTTTTGCCCGCCGCACGAGTGCACCTTTAGTCCGGACACCTGCGACCTGGTGCATGACGAGCTGCAACGGAGTTTCAACTTCAAGAGTGCACCGTTTACCAAGGATGGCAAGATTGAGGTGAGTTGCACTGAAAATGGTTGTTGAACGAGATAGCTAAATTGCATTTTTCCGCCCTCAGATTGACTACAATGCCACTAAGATGTCAGTAGACATTTGCGGAGAGCATCGCAAGGCGATGACGGACTATTCACAGGCTTTGGTCAACATATTCTTCACACACGAGTCGCCTAATTGCGGCAGAGAAGGTGAGTGTGTGTCCTTTTGCAGTCCGGCTAATTCGATTTACATAACCCGTCGCTTTCCACCGGCTGAAGGTTCAAGGAGCAGGAGAGCCTGAGTTGTCGCTAGTCGCTTGTCGCTTCCGTTTCCGGTTCCGCTTCCCTTTCCGCTAGCGCAACACGCGCGCATTGCCGCCATTTTGTTTGCCTTCTTTATCTGGCTTTCCGTTCGCCTTTTTTTTTTTGGTTCTTGTTGCTTTTGTTTTTGGTATGCTTTCGGGTGTTTTGTGTGAAAACGGAGGAATCGCATTAGATTTGGCGTACAGCCCAATGCACTTTCCTTGCCGGCACTTCTTGCACCGCCACACCATTTGGATCCTGCCGGCATTTTATCGCGTCATTTTTGTCGCTGGCACTCGTATTTTTTTCATAGCGGCGCCGTTCTAGCAACTGCGACATTTTCGGGCACTTGTCGTGGCTTTTTTTTTGAGTAGTTTGCTTTTTAACTAAGATTCTTTTTGTCCGTCTGCAAGTAAAGTGCTTGAAATTATACAACAACAAGAAATTATACAAAAAATATCTAGCAAACGAAAAAACTGTCTACGAGATAATGCGGTAAAATAATCTTGCTGCACTTGGGAAAATCTCTCTTTTTCTCTGGAGCTTTTCCTGTTTTTTCTATACATTGCTTTTTATGTTTTTTTTTTTTTGTTTGATGTGATACTACTGCATGAATATTTAATGCATGCAGAGAGCAGACAGTCGTGGCAGAATGGTAGATGGGTGTTTTATTTTTTGGGGGCCAGGAGTGGAGGCTTAAGAGGCAAACGGCTTCCTCTGACGAGATTTCTCCACAGCCACCGGGTTTAGCCGCCTTATATTTGCACAATGATTTTTATTCGAGCCATTGCATGGCACTTAAAACTTTGCCATTAAAACAAAAAGTTTTTATTTTGACAAATAAAACTGACGACGATTTAATTATGACACATCTCCATTGTCTTCAGCCCTGGCCGTAAAATGGAATTATTTTAAAACTCTGTGCGGCACACAAACTGTTTCGCCATTGTGGGACGACAATGCGCAATCTGCAAACGATCAGACAATTTTAATATGCCCAGTGACAGGCGTTAGCAGATACCAGAAATGTGTGTGTGGGTGTGGGTGATGAAGCTGGTGGAAGGAAGATGAGACCTTGGCCTGCCCAAATCCCAACGAGTTGTAGATTTTGTGTGGCTTTGTGACCGGAGCTGGTGGCTTTGATTACCCCGCTCCAGACACAGAAATATACGCATTTTGGGCTGAGCATTTGACCGAGAATAACAGTAGCAGCCTGAATTCCAGGACAACCAACAGCCGAAGCTGGCTGGAGCTGTGTTGTCGTCTGTGGTGATAATTATTTTTGGCTTTTATGCGATAACTTTGCGGTGTCCAGGCCCAATCCACTTTGCCTAACCCCCTTGTGCTGTATCATTTGAAATTTTGATAAGGATACTGTGTGCGAGGATGCCAGCCTTTGTCTGGGCCATTAAAGTGAAAAGCCTGGCTTTCGGGGCTGTCTCTGCTCTACTCCTGTTACTCATGCTACTGCTGGTTTTTGTATGCTTTTATTAGGGTTAAGATTGTTTTGAATGTGGGTTCATTGGAACTAATTAAAGTGCTCTCGAAACTAATGCCCCTATTATGTTTACTCTGCTTACAGGCACGATGAATGTCCAGATCCGGCTGATATGCAGCAACCAGACGGAGAGCAGCAGCACCATTTCGAGTGTAAGTACAAAGTATTGTATGTATCCTCTTACCTGAATCAGTAAACAACGCATCTGGTTCTTATTCTTGGCTCCACGAAGGATTACAAAAAGCGTAGCATGCTTTTCAGCGCCCTGCAAAATGCGCATCAAAGAAAAAACACAGCGGGAATGGCAACTGTAGGGTTATTCTGCATGTTTTTTTTTTATTTATGTGCCCTAACTGGGTGTTATATAGGTTTCTTAGGGATATATGTATAATTTATACAGTCAATAATCAGACCGTTTCAGGCCGTTTTATTCCCATACATTAGTAAATTCAGATTTTATTGGTTGCTTTTAAATATCTTTAAAACATTTCAGACTTGGCTTTTATGTGAAATGTTAGCCAGCTTAACAGCAAGGGTATGCAAATTCCGACTACCTGAAATTATTCCCCTCAGCCTTTATACCTTCTGGTTGTTTTGTGAATGCGAACAAGAAATCTTCGCAGTTGGTGGGTCCGTTCTCAAAGTCTCGCCACAAGGCACAGAGCTTGGGCTTCAAAGCGAAAATGTAGGAAATATGTGTGCGGAAAAGGGCAACAAGGGACTAACTGACGCAGCAGGACCGCCACCTTGGAATGATGGTGGTGGTGGTTTTGGGCGGTGACTTAGCCAGTGGGTGGTTGAGGGTTCAGGGGGTCAGAAGATGCTGAGGAGCTAAAGGAACTGAGAAGCTCGGAGCTCGGAGTGCGGCAGGTGTCCTTTGTTATGCTTACCACTTGGCAATCGGCTTTGCCTGTGCATCTTTCTCTTTTTCAGCCCTTTTCAACAGTGGCTGTGTCCTTTGTCTTTTCATATTTTCTGTTTTTGCGGTTCGCTTTGCATTTCTTGCTTCTTGTCTAATACCCTCACCTGCTCTTAGCTGCTGGTTGGAGCTTTTGTTTCCCGGGTTCATTCGTGTCGCCCAAGTCTTTGTTGTCATCAAGGGATGCAGGTGCTGGCCCCATTTCGGATCAGATGTAGAGATATGCATGCATTGTTCAGGGTTGACCCCTTCATCTATTGACCAGGTGACCCTTGGACTTTGGTTGTGGTATTAGCCAGAAATTGCCATGCCAGCAGGCAGTCGTGGTAGTGGGTAGAGGGAAATTGAATTACATACCAGCCTTTTATGCTGCACCTACAGAGCGAGAGAAAGAGAGAAAGTGCATGTGTGTGTAATAATATAATTAAGTTGCATTTGCCTGCAGCACTTTGACTAATGACCAAGGGTTCTACTTTGTTGTGGCTTCTCCAGGAGGCAGAATCATTAGCATACATTGCAGCCAGCTGCCCGACTCTCTTTAAGCTAATTAATAATTGTTTGTTTTGCTTGGGCGACAATTAACCGCAGGTTGCTGAAATATTTCCCAAGTACAATGCTTCGTAATTAGTAGTGGCCCAGGTCCAATTGCATTAACTTGCTGCCAGAAAAACGTTTTGCAATTAGTGCTTGAGGTTGATGCACTCCCTACTACCACACACCTACTCCTCCTATAAAATGCCAAAAGCACTCGACGACCATCAGCCAACCGCATTGAGGTCCATTACGCAAAAATTACGCCACGGGAAACGCTGGTGATTGAAAATATTTGCCGGTCCATTTTCTAAATCGATAGTTTTATGTTTTACCCATCCAGACAGCAGGTCCCGTTTTGGTGTCCTGTTTGGCTTCGATTTTGCATTTGTGGCACCAGGCAATTGACCCAAATTTAAAGCGGCTGCAAGCTGTTTGCCACCTCCGACAAACGTTTCCAAATGCCGTCGCCATTGGGTTGCTATGTCACAGATGCGGGTTGCGGCCTCTGACCCCCCTTAGTTCACATCCCAAATTTTGTATCCCACATGGCAAATGCCACCCCCACCACCCCGCTTTAACCGACTGTCGTCTGCCAACAATCGAATCGAACCCACTGCCTGCGAGCTTGGCTTGCCACTTGTGTGTGTGCCTGTACATATGTATTATCCGATGATGTTAATTGCTTGACACGCTCTCTGGGATCTTTAATATTTCCAATTCGTAGGTTCATACCCAGGCAGCTAATACATCGGAATATTTCAGCTGACTCAACAGGTTAAGTCGAACAAGATGTTCTGGTCAGCTTGGCAGGCAAGTTGAAATGGGGGAAATGAGTTTCAGCTTATCGCTGGAGGAACCCAAAACGCTTTAATCCTTTAACTGCAAAGCGGAAAATAGCACTCGGCTGTGCACTTAAAAAATTATTGAGTTTTAAAAAAAAAAACAATTTTATATTAAGACTATTTTTTTACATCTTGGAAAGCCGAAAAATTCCAGTTTCCAAGAATAAAATACAAGACATACCTTTTGTATAAAAACTTCTTGATTAAATAGCATATCATGCTTTTTCCAAGTGTATGTGTGCATTTATAGTAAACTATATATATATACACAGAACGAAGGACAACTTTTGGGTAGCAACAAAAAGGATCTGTGTACAAGGTTCCTGGTACTGCTACTGGCAGCGACGTTGTTGGAAAATTAGCGATTCAATGAAATGGGATTTTAAATGGCTGCAAACTTTTTAATGCGTTGCCCCCTTTTCCGCCATTCCGTCCTTTCGTCCTTGTCCCATGGATCCGAACCACCCACTCCTCGCGGACATGTTCGTGTCTGGTGCGGCGCCTCGCCGTGACGGGAAAGTTTGTGCCAGCTCGCCAGCCAGTGAGCGTTTTTGCCTCGCCACTTGCAGTTGCCAGTTGCAGTTGTGCCGCAAAAGTTTTTAAATTATGCGCACATTTGCTGTTTCATTTTGCAGTCGCTGGTCGCGCCGGAAATGGTCTTTGGGTGAAAGTGTTACAAGCGCACAGAACACAGCACAAGGGTTTCTTTTTTGCTCGGCGGCAGGATGCCGGAAACAAGCTGCAAGCAGTTGTTGCGCCACGAATTTGTGCCTGGGTCCACTCGTATTTTACTTGGAATTTATGCCCCCCGTTCCCATATCAATTTATTTATTTATTTTTGCCCAGCCAGCCCTTAATGAAGAAAGTTTCTAATTACACGAATCCGTTTACTTGCAGGACCAGCAATGCAATTTGCTTTATGTGCAACGAACGCCGAGCATCTGTGAGTTCCTGTCCCTTGGTGCAGCCCAGCAGGATGCTCAAGGCGGTGGATCTACCAGCTCCTCGAGCAGTACCAGTACCAGCAGCAGCACCTCCACAACCACCACCACCACCACCACTACCACCAGCACTACTACTCCGGCATCGCCAGCGGGTAAGCCAACCAAGGCGGCCACGTCGACAACGACAACAACAGTTGGTCCCGATCCGGCAGCTACTCCCATCGGGCCAACGGCCTCCGTGGGCAGTAAGTGCAGCTGGTCCAAATGACTCTCCCCTTAATCCGTCACTTATCCGGTCATGTTTTCTCCTCATTTCCAGCCATCCTGGCGGCCATCCTGTCGGTGACCTTCTGTGTAACGTGCCTGGGCCTGTTTGCCTTTTCGCCAGCGCGAAGGCAGCGTGTCCGCCGCCTTTTCCGGCGCAGCAACTCCGCGGTGAGATATTCTCGGGTAGGTAGGTCGTTCATAAGCTTTTAATTTGGATTTTTAGACTACGCTTTAATGTATTTCTTTCATGTTTAAAAAAAGTTTTTTTGATTAAACCATTTCTGGTTGATTTTATAAAGTCGATAGTTTACTTTCTTGCAATCTAAAGAGATCATTTTTTGTTTGCTCTCCTTTCAGGTCCAGTCCAATGAGGAAGCCAACCTGCTGTTAGAGCCCAATGGAGAGTTCACTGAGAGCGATGATGACATGCTGCTTTAGGGGGGTGCAGAGCAAACCAAGTCGTCGTCGGACGCCTTATTAGCCATTAGCATGGGGCTGGGGGAAATGGTGTCGGAACGGAAATAGGGGTAGCTAGTTAAAGACACGAAAGATCCCAAAGTGAGTAATATAGAACACCAAAGACATAACTGAAAACTGAAACTGATTGTGAGCTAAGAAAAACTAAAAAGAAAAAAACAAAAAGGGAAAACTAAAGAAAGTAATGATAAGATGGGGGCGAACTGCTGATATAAAATTGTACAATACGCGTAGGCTACAACGACGACTTACAGAAACCAATTAACGGAACCATATATATACACACATTATATATTTTATATACCCTTCGTATGTAAAGGAAACTCCCGAACCTAACCCGTACCTATAGCTATAGATAAATGCGGCCTGCATTCGCCAGAGAATTGCCAAGGACAATTGCTTAAAACGTACATAATTTTCGCTAAAGGCTCGCAATATGTAACCAAATATAGCGCGGCAGCTTTTATCCTTCCATTAACTATATGTGATTTCATATTTTAACAATTTTAAAACAAAAGTGCAGCTTTTGTGCAATTTTTATGGTATTCCTTTTGAACCGATTTGTATTTTATTCTAAGCCAATATGTTCTTTATTTAATGTTCGTTTCGTCTCTTCTGTTGTTTTAGTTTAGTAAGGCAAGCCATATTAAAAAACGGCTAAATGTACAATTTTAAATGTATACATAAATAATAAAATCAAAAAGGAAATATATATACATGAACCAATTTCTTTGTACTAACTTACCTTTTCAATAGACTTAACAGTGATAAATAAATAACTCGAATTGAATAAATTTTTAAAATATATTTTATTTGCGTTGTATGTGTTTTCCATATACAATTAGATTTAATTTACTCATATATATGCATTACAGAGTAGATGAGTGTGTCTGCATAAATTTGTAGGTACCTTAGGTATTACATATCAGAGATAATCTATAGCTTAGACGATATACACATACTTTAGCTTAATTACATTTACGTATCATAGACGATATATTCTGTTTTCATATGAGTGAGGAGGCGCTAACCTAATTGTTTTGGTAAATGACATGTGATAATGTGTGTGTGTGTAGTCGGTTGAATTATGTAATCGCTTCTTATGTACTTATTTATATAGCGTCATTTAAATGGGCGTGAGATTACAATTGATATTCGTGTTAGTTGTGAGTAGGAAATCTGGTGCGTTACGTTCTCGTTTCGGAAAAGTACAGAAATTCTTATTCAGCTTATGTACAGAGTGGGCGGGGGCAGGGTGTCGGTGTTGTTATGCAATCGAATATGAATCCTTGGGTTCTACATATCTAGCATACATACATATACATACAAAGAAGGCAATTTGTTTTTCATTTCGTCTGATTTTGCTATGTTTGTTCACACTTACAGAGTCTAAACTACTATTTGGATACGTCATATGTGTATTGCAAGTGGTTTTTTTTACTTAGTGGTAGGTAGATTGAGTTTTAACAAATAATAAGTAGTTGGTAGTTCGAAATAAAGCTCGATGTGTTCAAAATTCAGATTCCCAATATTGATTTGAGATTCCATTCAAAGGTAAAAAAAATATAAATAAAAGTGGTCATTTCAAAGGTTGTTTTAGCATTTTGAGCTACTCTCAGTTTTGCATGCGGCAGCCTAAAGTAATCTTAATGTACAAATAATTACTAAATAAATGAGATTTTTATGTCTACAAGAGTCTGCACAGGATCTAGGCTAAGCTTACATATAACACTTAAAACAGAGTGATGTGGTAAAACTAGCTTGTGTGTTCCTTTCCGTCCATCCTCGAACTAATATTTTCTTTTTCATTTTTTCTTCAACAAAGGCCACATGAAATATTGAAATTTGAAATTTTCATTAACTTTTCCTTAGAGCTCCTACAAGCGCAAGATAATTAAACCTAGGAAGGGACGTTTCTAACTTGACCAAACACGAGGAAATCGATAATATTCTCTAGACTTTTTACATTCAGCTGGGTGCTTTCACCACCTAGTTACTCAGTGGCAGTGGTTTACGGGGGCTTCTTTCTCTTTAACGGAACAATAGCTCATCGTCGGGATCGAACTGGAATAGCTCCGCCTTCTCCCAGTCCTATACGTCGCTCTGTTTGGCGTTTGTGTTGATGATGAAGGCGCCGTTGATGTGGCCATTACCGTGCGACTTGCCATTAGGTGTGTACAGATTTGTCAGTCCGTTCTTGCCATTGGCAATCATTATGGCCGGATGCGGGGTAACGCCATTTAGCTGCGCCACCAGCGGATTCTTGGTGGCTTCTGCGGGTGGCGTTGTCAGCGGCGGTGTCACCGGTGACGGTTTTATAAGCTCCAACTTGTCGTCCGTGGAACCTTTCAGTGCTGTCTTAATCAGGGCACCATTGCCAATATTTCCGACACGTCTGCGGTGGGGCAGCGCGAATCGCAGCTTATCCCAGAACCACGGATCACCCCACTTCAGGTAGGTGTTCATCTTCAGATAGGCCTTCAGCTCTTCGTCCAGCTTCTCCACATCACCGATATCTGAGTAGATGATCACAATAATTCGGGATCGTCCCTCGTTCAGTGCCGATCTATGTGCCGCCCTGAATTCCAGACGTGCCCATTCCGATTTGATGAAGTTCTGGCTAAGCACAATGATGGTACGTCTTGAATCCGCCACAGAACGCATGATATTCTCCGGAATGTGTCCACCGACCAGCCAGTCACGTTCATGCACACAGAGCTGGAATTTCTGAGGACCATGCTCCAATTGTGGCACCAAATAGTCCTCAATGAAGCTCTGATCCTTGTGCGAGTACGAGATAAAGGCGTCGAACTTTTTATCCTTATCCAGATCCTCCTCCGTGACAAGCCACAGGAGCCATTCGTGAGCATACAACCAGATCTTGATCTCTGTCTGGTATTTGTAGTACAAAGCCGCCGTGAAACCAGCCAAAAGACCAGCCAAAGAAATCACCACTGCCAGGGCTATGAATACACCTCTCTCCTCGGGGCAAATGTCATTTGTCGACAGTTCCGCCATTTGGGTGGGCATCTCGGCGTTCATGCACATCATTTCATTGCGATCCGCTATACGCTCAAAGTTATCCTGGGTAAACAGAAGCAGAGACTTGGCGGTACAGTCACACATCCACGGATTTCCAGACAACCTTATCGATCGCCATTTCATGGTGCGATTGAGGAAGCCCAGCACAGTGGCGTTAAGCGTTTGCAGTTGATTCTGGCTAACATCCAGATGCATGAGGTTCGGAGGCAGTTGCTCCACATCTATGTGGGTAAGATTATTGCCAGCAAGATGCAGACTAGTTACATTCTCATAACCAGGCGTATGGGCAGAAGGCAGCCTGAGCAGAGTGTTGTTCTCCAGGTGAAGCTCCATTAAGCTCATATTCGGATACAGTTTGGGCAATCGAGGAACATGGGTTAGGTTGCCACTGTTGCACTTTACTACCTGTGCCTTGTCGAAGGTTCGAACCCAGCACGTACAGCCAATTGGACACTTTCTTTCCCGTGGATCCTCCGAGGTGTCCATGGGACAGATCAACTGCTGCGGTTTCAACTGTCGGACGGAAACGCCCATTAAATCGTTTGGCGAGCTGCAAGTCAGTCGGTCTGTGCGCAACTTTAAGTTCTTGGCGTATTCTGGCATATGGCTTCCCCTTATTACCTGGACAAACCAGACGATCAAACAGTCGCAGACCAGCGGATTATCGTTGAGATCAATATGAACCAGACTCGTACTTGCGTCCTTTCCCAAATCTACGTTCTCGGGCAGGTCGATTCTTCTTATTTTGTTATGCGTCATGTTGACGTGCACTCTATTCCTAGACAGGAATTGCATATCCTTGTAGCCCAACCAGCTTATATTATTGTAACTCAAGTCCAGATCCCTCAGCTGGGTCAGCACAAACATCCAGTCATGGTAGACGAATATGATCGAGTTGTTGCGCAGATTGAGGGTCACTAGACCGGTCATGTAAGAGAATGGGGAGTAGCGATCAATCTTGTAACCGTTAGCCAGCAAAGGTTGTTCCAAGTCTATAACATTGTGATCCAAATGAAGATGCCGCAGTCCAGAAGTGCCAACAAAGGCTGTGTCGTCGATGGTGCGTATACGATTTCTGCTCATGGTAAGGGTCACTAGTTTACCCAGGCGGCTAAACAAATCGCTGTAATTGGAAAGAAATCAATCTGATTAGAGATATGAAAAAAAAGTACAAATATAAACATGAGTAAATAAAAATGAATGGGAATTAAACTTATTTCACACATGCTTTAAATAGAAAATAGAAAATCAATTTACTAACCTCTTAATCTCGGTGAGCAGATTATCCTCCAGATTCAGATCTGTCAGATTCTTGGTATGTTCGAAAAATGAATCCGGTAGATGTGTCAGCTTGTTCTTGCTTAAGTCTAGGCTCAAAAGATTAACCTGATGTTTCAGCAAATTGGCGGGCAGAGTGCTTAGTAAGTTATTCTCTAGCGAAATATTGGTGATCTGTGTGGAATGTTCGAAGAGATCACCCGGCAATGATTCCAGTTCAGCTCTAAGGCGTAAAACTTTAAGTTCCGGCTGATTGGCAAATAGGCGAGGAGGGAGTGTGGCAAGGGGCACACGATTGTTCATTATCCGCACCTCGTTTAGGTGTTTGTTGTGCTCAAAAAGACCCTCTGGCAGTGAACGGAAGAGATTGGCGCTGAGGTTGATATCCGTGAGACTAGTGAGATGGGCAAATACATCGTGCGGTAGCTGCTCGATTCCATTATCATGAATATCTATGCCCAACACCGATGTGGCACCTTCGAAGTCGTGCTTTGTCAGGTTGTGCAACTCATTGCTCCACAAATTCAGGTGCTTCAACTTGGGCATCTTGCCGAATATGCCGCGTGGCATTTGCCTCAGCTTATTGCAGCCAAATTCGATGGACTCCAGGTTCTCTAGGTTATCGAACAAGTTTGTGGGCATTTCTTCAATGTTTGCCCTTAGCTCTAGATGGCTCAGATTCCGCATGTCAGCTAGTAAGTTGGCTGGAATGTGGGTAAGACGACGGGTCGTGAACCTAAATCGCTTGAGACTATGCAATCCGTCTAAATGTTTGCGTGATATGTTCATGCCTAAGTTGTCGCTCTCGAAGATCAGCGTTTTTGGTGAGCTTATGCCCAGAAATTCGAGAATGCTGGCAATGGGCGAATGACCAGGCAACATGCACCGTCGCATCTGAACCCTATCAACCTCTCCGATCTGCATATTATTTGGTAATTTCCTATAGTCTGTGGTGTCCGTCAGATTGCATATCATCTGGACGTATTCATTGGGCTGGATGGTCAGTCTGAAGGTGGGATTCTCCACATTCGCCGGACAGGTGATCTCATATTCCGACATAATGGGTGAGCATTGACAAAGTCCGTGGATGCTCATCTCACTACATGCATCACGACCGAAAGATGCCTCTGTTATTGGCCAATGGAGTAGTTGCAGGATCAGCAGGAGCATCGCCAGCTCGGAAGCTGCCTTTTGTCGACTCATGATGGTCAACTTTTGTGGTCCTTCTTCTTTGTATAAGGTCTGGAAAAGAGGAAATTAAAGAGGTTAATAAGCATTAATTTTTTGGAAATTTTCTAAAAAATAAAAGAAATCCTAAAATATAATAAAGTTTCTCTTAGTGCACATTCCGTAATTAATAAACGTTGAGTTTGCTGAAAACTTCATCGCATTTGTCATTATCATAATGACAGACTGAACGCCGTATGTTCGGAATGTAATGAAAAGGGCTGCGACTCGGAGGCGTTATTAGCATTTGCGTAATTATATGGAAGTAAAATAAAACTGGATACAAACATTTGCCATTCCTTAATGGAATAAGCTCTGGCAAATGTGCTCACTGCACGGCGGTGCGTAAAGTCTTTTGAATGCGGCTTAATCAGGGACAGTTAATTAAGCGCGAGTCAGAAATTTTGACAGCCCGTTCAAAATATTTCATTAGCAGCACGCATACGCCGTGTGTGAGCGGGAAAAGCCGAAAAATGAATTTAATTTAAATGCGGACGCTGTGGCTCGGAAAATCCCGACTCTTGGGTGGAGAAAAAAGGACATGCACAAAGCACGGCGACACCTAGTGTGGCAAACACAACTCGTGTATAAATATGGCACGAACACACATCCTTTTCGCTCGCTTCCTGGGCCATGTTGCATTTCATGGTTGGCTCACCTCGAAACCACGCCCAACTACTGTTTTCCCAGTTCTCCAGGTCCTAGCTCCTATCGTCATACCCTGTAATCCCGGGCTCCCCTCTACACAGTATATGTGTGTGTGTGTGTATGTGTGTGGTGTAATTACGGTCAGGGAGTGTATAAAATTTTGTAAAACGCTTTCCTTCTGCTGCTGCTACTTTATCGTCATCGTCCCTACATCCCTCCATCGCTCCGTGTGGACAGTGGGGCACTTTACGGTCTTTGTGCATTTAATGAATTTGTCATGCGCTCGAGTGCTGCATAATACGGGATTTTTGGCAAAGCTCTGGCAGAACTTGAGCCACCAGCTTGAGTTCTCCTTGAAGACCTCTCAATCTGATGGTGACAATTTAATTGTGCCCATTACGTACAATTTGAAAGGAATTCAATTAAAAGTTTTTGGCCTTCTAGCTGTCGCTCCCAAAAACGGCAACTTTAGGCCATATTGCATTTACTGTCAACTGTCCCTTTTTAGCCAAGAAGGCGGATAAAAAGAAGTCTCGTGTTTTCCCCAGGCCTCCTAAGGACGCACAGACGCTTTTGAATGAAATTTTGATAAGGCAATTTAATTATGCGCGCTGTAATTTGATTTTCAAATTGGTGACTTTTCCTCATTAATTAGGAACGAACAATGATGAAATTTTGCCGAGTGGCCCCTGGCTGTCAAGATTATATTGATTTTCGACCCCCGACCATTCCTCCATCCAAGTTGCGCTTTGTTAACTCACAAAATTTGATCAACTTTTTCTGGCCAACCGAAAAATCTGCATTTGTTGGCCATTTTTGAGTTTTCGGAGATTTTTCATTAGATATTTTGATGGGAAAACCGGATAGTTGGACAGGTTATTTGTTTTGTTTTGAAAAGTGTTTGGCCAACGAAATATTGCTGAATGCTTATGCTAATAGTTATTGCAAATTGAAGGCATTGTGTGTGCTAAGTGTTTTGCCAGCCATCAGATTGCAGATATCGAGTCTTGAGTTTCCAGTGTGTTTCCCCTTAAGCTATTAGATGGCAAAATAGACACGCTTTGTTGGCCAAACTCGACACCTTGTTTTGTGGAACAGTATAGGTTTTCTCGATCCAGGCCAACTTTAATTTCGCATTAAACTTTAAGCACTTTTCACCCAATGAGTGTGGACCCAAACTACCTTTGCCTTACAGTGTTTTTGCCTTTTAAATTTCTTCTTAGCCAAGTCAGCCATCCAACCAGCCAGCCAGCCATCCAGCCAGTCAGTTTGCTTGGAAAGCTCAGGCTATTGTTGTTGTTGCCACTGCTGCTTTGGCTGCTTTTCTTGGCAAGATTTTAAACATTTATATTCACTTAGGAAAATTACTTTTCGCTTTTATGCCACGCTGGCCGTGTAAATATCCAGCAACGAGCTGGAACCTGGCTCCTTCAATCCGCATTGATATCCCGAGCGCGTTTTGTTTATGCAATCTAATCTGGGCGAATTGTGCCCCGTTTGTTGACATCTCGCCTGAAGCGGAACCAACGCCACCTACTACTCCTACTGTTTGGAAAACCAACATTTACATTGGGCAATCAAGTCAGAAGTGTTGCCTTTGCCTTGGCCAAGTTTCAGGTATGGGTGCCTTGCCAATTAATTGAATCCCGTCCTGGCACCCAATTTAATCCCGCCAGGCAATTAAAAATAATTGCTCATTTCACACACACAACACACATGTTGGAAAATTATGAACCTACTACGTACACATACCTGAACGTAAACGTTACGCTCGATTTAAAATTTTGTCTTGTTTAATTAGACGCTCCGTGTCGTTAATAAAGGTTAACGAAGTTTTGCCAGAGCGCAGATTTTTCACACATTTTCACACACAGCTCAGCACAGGATACTGGGGGATAAAACCTCAATACCAGCACGTAGTGGCTACACATACACACATACAAACATATGGGTTTATATATGTATATAGTACACCCATGGAGATTCACAGACATTCCAGTCGAGTGCGCATTTTTGCACTCACATGCTCACTTCCGGTATGTAACGGTACTAAATTCATTAGGCACACTAAATTACAACCGCAGGCATGGCATGATGAGGTTGTGTGGGTTGACTCTGAGTTTTTGGCGAAGCTCCTTGCTTCCACCTTAGATTTTTATTGCTCACCCAAGGAGTACACAATGTAAGCCTTCCTTTTAAGGCAACTCAACTTTGGTATGTGCGAGTGCGTGTGTGCTTGTGTGTTGTTGTGAGACTGATGTTTAATAGTCGTACCGCCCGCCGTGTGCTCTTGGAAAATTGGCTTTCGGATGCCTGAAACAACCAACCAACGCCACCCATTTAATGGTTAAGTTTTCTTAATGCTCGACTGTCGGGATTACGGCAAATGCCAAAGTGTTTAAATGGCGTTGACATATTGTTCGCCCTTTAAATTAATTTTTGCAATATCAAGCGAGGAACTACGAGTAAAATTGCCACCACATACACACACACACACACACACACATTGCGCCCGTTCATCAATCAACATGACTAATTACTACAATTCCTGCCAAGCGGCAGCCTCTCCAACTCGTAAAGAGTAGCAGAAACAGGCAATGGGAAAAAAAGCAAAACAAGTTGTTTAACAATTTCTTATTAAAAACTTACAAATGCTTCAGAAAAGTTCTTACACGCATGTGAAGTACTGTTGTAGAGTGGGAAAACTAGGGGGGTCCTTCGACCATTTTCCATTTTCCATTTCCTAGCTCATACGAAACCTAGGAAACGGAAAGTCTGGCCAAGTGCGGTTTTTGTATCCCACTGCACTGGCAATGTTTCATTTTCCCCCTTTTCCCAATAAGTGTGTGTGTACGAAATACATATGTGTGTGTATGTGTGTGCTTGGTTGTTTGCCAAAGGATTTCAATTCCCCCAAAAACTTTTGCAAGTCTTTTGGCCCCATGTTTCTGGTTTTACAGGCATCGCCTCCAACACTTTGGTGAACAGGCAGCCGAGACATGTTTATATAGCCAGCCAGATGGGCCAATGTATTGCCAAACCGAAGCTTTAAGCAAACATCTGTGTTCTCCATCTCAAGTGCGCCACGCCAATAGTACTCAAGATGTTTTTTGAGAGGGGGCTGGCGGTATGTGAAGAGTCTCTAAGCGGGTCTTAATATCGGAAAATTGGAAACTGTTCAATATGTGATTGGCAATGGGGCAGCGTTTGTCTGTCCAATACAATTGAATAGTGGGATTCGGAGCAGCAAGTGTATAAAATAAATACCTTAAGAAACAAATCTCATAAGAAACTTTCGATCCAAAAACTATATATCTTAAGAAAAACTAAATGATATTAGAGTTTAATTATGTTTAATGTTAAGTTCTTCTAGGAAACCTCTCATAAACAAGTTCCAATTAATACTTATTGCTTTCTGTGAACAGGAAACGCAGTGATAAATGTTGAACATCTTCCTGGAATTGCTCCCCAGCTGCCGCTCAAACAGCTAATTATGCACAAACATCGCAAGGTTAAGACATCCTTCAGATGAATATATTAAGTCCCGCTTTCATTATTTATGGCTTACACTTTCTGCAGAATTTTCGCTAAAGCGCATCAAAATTCCAAAAGGGCAGAAGAAGGGACTCAAAAGTGCTCGAGCCGCAGTGAATTGAAAATATCTCGAAGCTGCTTACGCTGTAACGCCTCTCAGTTAAGTGCAAACCGCCGAAAGCAAGGAGGGCACGAGTTTCCTCAAGATGGATGAGTGCAAGAAATGCTCGCTGGCATTTAAATTTAAAATTTCTATTAGTAAATGCATCAGCAGAGCGCTCAACTTTGCTGTAGAAGGCGAGCCAACTACTGCGCGAGTGAACAAAAAACCAACTTCAAAGTCAGCGACAAATCCATAAGATGCTTGCTTCACTCATTACTCTTGCCAGCTGCACGGCTCACTGAAAGTTCAAGTTACAGCAGACAGCAGCTAAGCAGATGAAAGAAAAGGGGTTAAGACCTGATTTGCGCATTCCACCCCGAGACGATTCCCCTCTTCCCACCGTAAAACTCTCCCACATATTCGCAAAGGGCCAACCTCTTCAGATCTCGTTGAAAGCCAGCTCATTGTCTGGGAAATAGAAAGGCAGTAAGGCGATGCTGCTGCTGCAGTTTTTACTTATTTTTTTTTTTTGCCAAAGTGAGGAGAAGTCGCCAAGTGAAAGGCTTTGTAATGTCATTTGTCTGTTAATCATGTTGTCGTCCCAAGTTTTGCGCAAAGTTTTTAGCATAATGCGCTCGTGCCCGAGACAAATGCAAAAACTTGTTGAGCCCATGGAAAATTTCAAGGAAGGAGGTGAAGATGAGAGTGAGGATGTGGCTGAGGAGCAGCA